ATAAGTATGATTTATAAAGTGTAAGATAGGTGTAACAGTGTGATAAGAAATGTCTTACGATTTATTAGTTATATCTGTTATGATATATTCTAGACTCTAGATACCGAAAACTCTAGAATCTAGAGTTTTCAGTATCTAACCAAAGGACCAGACATTAAGAACAATTAATAAATAAAATTTGGTGTCATGCACAAAACACCCCTTTTCAGTAATGGAATTGAGAAATACCTTATACCTGCCATATGCGGATTAACAAAGATCCTGTCTCTCAAAGAGAAACCATGCTGAGGTTAAAAAGTTGACATTTGGAACAAACTTCCATGACAATGGCCTGATAGATCACCAGAACCTGGATCTTCGGAAAACACCATTGATCCGCCAAACACGCCACTAAACACTGAAATCATAAACCGTAACAGATGGAGGCGCGAAGAGCATAAACAATTTATGATAGATTTTTCCATAGAAACAAACCAGAAAATAACAACAGTAAACAAAGTAATATAAATTGATGAAATATAGTTGGAAATGATCACCATTAATGCATGGATACTAATATATTTGCCAATATTCACAGCGACATCATGCGGAATAACAAATTAACAAGTGCATAAAAAAAGCAAAGTAAAACTAAAATGAGTAATGGAAATAATGACATCATAATAACAATAATAGTATGAGGAGCTAAAAATGACTACAGATAAAAGAAAATTTAACCTACCTGATATTTCACCGGATTTTCAGTTTGAGGAAGAAAATACAAATAAGAAAGTAAGATGATAGAGTAACATAATTGAAGATTATAAAATAGGCATAACATAACAAAACACAATAATCAAAGTACCAAAAGAATAATCAAACAACAAAAAAGAATAAAAATATATAATGAGCCATCGCACTATTTTCACAAAAATCAAACAAAGGTATAATATCACTTAATAAGGTAATAATTGCTACTGTTTTGTCATAAACAAGAAAATATGCCTTAAAATCAAGAAAATTAGCAACGATATACACAAGCAATCCAGATGGAAGACACAAATACGTAAAGAAATAGAACTGCTCAAAGAAATACTATCAATAACGAAATAACTATCAAAGGAGGAATAACGTGAAAATTCGTGAAGATAGGAATGAAGACCTAGATACCAAATACATTGTCAAACAGAGGCTACAAGCCAAAATACAAGGAATACAAAGATAGGAGAAAATAAACAAATTCTACAATGAGTATAACATTATTAAAATAAATGCTAAAAATGTCTCTACAAGACTTGAAGATCAAACGGTAAGGATTAGACTCTCCATGAATAACTGAAGAAGAAAACTTTTGGAAAATTATCGGGAGTGCAGATAAAAGATTTAAAGTGGATACTGATTGGAGAAGAGAGGAAGAAAATATGAACCACAGAGAACAATTAAGCTATATTACTCGTGATGAGCTCAGGAAAACAGCCAAATTGCATCAATGGAAATCAATTGGAACAGATAAAATTCACATTTTCTGGATCAATTCACTAACGTTGGTACACTATTACTTAGCAGACTCACTATCAAATATCATGTGAAAGCCAGAGAAAACATTTACTTGACTACTTGAAAGAATTACATTACTACCACCAAAAAGAAAAAAAAACGAAACAAAATACCGACCTATTACTAATCTAACAACGAAATATAAATTAATATGTATCTTAATCGAACAAATTTATTCTTTTCTTGATTAAAACAGCAAAAAAAAAAAAAAAAAAAAAAAAATAGGCGCAAGGAAAACCCATGCAAGTGTAAGGGCCAGTTTCTCATAAATAGAATGAGTTTTAGAAAAATGCATCACAAATCATAATCTTACTGCAGCATGGATAGACGACTATAAAGCATTTGATAGTGTCTCTCGGCCATTGATTTCAAAGTCAATCGAATTCTATAAAATATCACCCATAATTAAGGATTCTCCACGACAAAATATAACAATATAGAATGTAAATCACTTTTTGTCTCATTGTAACAGCGTAAAGCTATCTAGTAAAATAGGCTTCAGTCAATTTCCCAACGCCGTAACGTAGCTTTCTCGTGCCTTTCCTATTAATACTTTCATGCTAATTGTTCTAATGAACTTTCTTCTCTTATACTATTTATTTCTTATACCTTTTTCAAATGAAGTTAATAACACCGACTTTGGTTATAAAATCTATGATAAAACTGTTGGGTTACAAAAATAATTATCTGCCCTTAAATATAAAGTATCACATGATGAGTTATAACAGAACTTGACAATACTTAAACTGTACCACCTGCAAACGCTTCGGTTGTTAGCATATGCTAATATCTGATGTGAGCATTTCTCTGAACCAGTCACAATGGTAAAAGATCTTGTGGAATTTTCTGATACACATAAATGCCAACAGACCAAACATAAAAATGCAAAGAGAAACTGAAATGATTAAAAAAAATACCAGGATCTGAGTCAGGAATTGAAGAAGCTGTGTTTTATGACCGTTTGTGTCAGATCCTGGCATATTTTTTTAATCTTTACCAATCCCTGTAGTAATGGGTGCGCATGAAACAGGGTCGGTACAAAAAGTCTATAATACGCCAGTATAATAATATCTCAATCTATAATACGCCCCCTTCTCTACTATATTTCAATTTTTATAAGGCAGTATTCATATAGAATAGAAATTTTATTGTAACCTAATTATGTACAATAATGGATCATATACAATATAGGCGAACAATTTAACTAGAAGAATTGAAAATAAATGCAATGTATCTAAATACAACTTAGAGACATGTCATAATAGGCCCATCTTAAATAAATCAATAATGTTTTGCAGAAATTTTTAACATCAACTTGTTAAAAAGTTGAATAATTTTAACATATTCAGTATTATGAATAAAATATAGTGAATTTTATATAGTGTTTTTTTTTGAGACTTGGCATGAGCAAAACATTCATGAATTTGGCTGAAAAAAAGAGGAAGTTTCATCAAAAGTGTAGCGGTATCCCCACCCACTATTTTACCTTTCGGAGCAATAGAGAGATACTTTATGAGGACGGAACCAACGGCTTTTCATACTTTTGACTCATAAAACAGTCATTTGCATTTATCATTTAAACTGCACCGATTTGTTTCAGCGAATTCTATCTTTAATTTGATGCTAATTTTATGTTATCATCAACAATATATGCTAACATTCACGTAGATTATAATGCTACTATTATAATTTACTTTCTGAGAGCCCATAATGTTAAGTCGCGTGTAATTTGAGACAAATATATCGATAATATGTATATATGTTTTAGCACGAAATCTTCCTAAAATATTCAAACATAATGAAACGTTTTCGCAAAATGTAGAGCAATTCCACTAAAAATTTGCGCCTATTGACTCACGAAGAGGAATCAAGAAGACGGAATATAACGATAGACATTGCATTTAAATTTATTAAAATCAAAGTTGGCTGGAAAGTAAGAAGCTGGAAAAGAGTTCCACAAGCGAGAATTAAGAGATAATAAACTGTTAGCATGGTTATTTGTAGAAAAGATACAGGGAAGCTACGTTACAGAGGTAGGAAAGTGACTGGAGCCTAGATTGTATTCTTTGGATTTTTAAGTCAAATATTTTTTTATCTCGAGTATGTTTTCGGTGTATTAACCTACGCTTCTTTAAGCATATATATATATATATATATATATATATATATATATATATATATATATATATATATACACACACACACACATACACACACACATATATATATATGTGTGTGTGTATATATATATATATATATATATATATATATATATATATATATATATATATATATGCGTGTTTTATGTTTGCATGTTACAATGTAAGTATTGAGACAAAGTAAGCATGGATTGATATTGCATAACCATACGATGTCAGGTCACTTCACGAGTGCTGCTAGCACCATATAATCCAGTAATACTTGCCGCATAGTCGGATCATCAGCGACTAAACCGGTTTACCTCCACCATGGTTTTCTTTGATATAAAAATGACACAAAACAAGGTTGCGTCATGGCTCATGTACTTTTCGTTCGTTTTCTGATGAGAAAGGTGGTCAGACATCCATCAGAAATTTTAAAAAAATAATTCAGTTGAAAATTTTCAAGCGACAACCACTTTGACGGAAGGGGAACGGAAGAGTAAAGGAGTGGATGTGTGTCTTTGAAGATCAACACATAACAAAAATCGGAAATAGGGTATATTCATGTGCTGGTCTATATGAACACTTATGGTTGGGATCGCCGAGTCGGTACTGGTCAGCCCTTGGCTGGAGACGGATTTGTCTGTCGCCTGATTCAGATTCCACCCGTTCGTATTGCAATCCACACGTCGGGATATTTTCAGTTCATGGAAAGTATCCGGTTATACAGGCTCTAAATTAAAGAAAGCAAAAAAGTTAAAAATTTAATTAAATTCTCGTTTTGCCTTTGTTAAAGGTGGGAACAGTTTGGGTCTATTTGTAATCACCATTTCCTTATTCTATTTTTCTTATGAACTTAATTTTATCTTATTTGTTATCTTTATTTCTTCCACTTTTTCTTCCACTTATGACATAATTTAAAACGGCCCAAGAAAATTTTAAGAAGATAATGTTGATTGTTGATGAATATATTTAGGTCTCTTACTATATTTCCTCATGAAGTAAAATTTGATTTTTTTTTTAATCTGGACAAAGTCCAGACATATTTATAGAATAATAGTGATAAGATTGCAAAATAAATTATAGGTTTCTAATCAAGGTAATATGCATTACTATATATACGTTTAACAAAAATATGCTGATTCCAAATTACGGGAAAAAAGCTATTTCCCATTAGTCTCTAACGCGTCTAAAAAATTGTTTTATACACACTCCGCATTATCCCAAGAAATGTTAAATTCTTTTCAAATAGATAGCTAATTTAAGGTGTAGAAATGTTTAAAAATTCAGTTGTAACCAGTATTTTAGTCACAATATTGGTAAATGACCAGCGAACATAATCACTCCACTTCTTTTCCGTTCATCAATAAGTCAATATTTAGAGACAATCTTTCGGGATGCCATTTCCACTATGTAAGACTTAAAAACTTGATTTTTCTTTTTTCTACATTCCCTACAGACACATTTTTAGGTAGATATTTCGTTAACAATGAAAAGAAGAACACAATGTTCAGTGCTTAATAACTTTGAATGTCATGATTTTTATCTGCTTGTTTTCTTTATTTGAATGTATTCAAATGTCTGCATTTTAAATAATCTGCCAAAGATAACTGCTTGAATTGTATTTTTGGTATTTTTCTTATGTGATAAGTGATACTCTTGCTAAAAAAATAGTAGGCTTACAGTGTTAAATAATTTTATTCCAAATACTTAATTTCAAGCTGCAAACTTTTGAAGTTCAAAGAAAAGCAACCTTTATTCATGAAAACTAAAACATGATAGCTACCAAACTTTTATTTTGTAGTACCGTTAAAATCTAAATAAATTGCAGGTAATGTCTCTGCAAAGTTCTTTAACATCCAATATATTCTGCCTTAGAATATTGATAGAATGTGTTAAAATAACACATTCTGTCAATAACAGTTAGAAAGAACTATTAATAACGTGATTGTTAAGTGCCACAGATTTTTAATTGATCATCCTCAATTAGCAGAAACAATACAATCAATCAGAAAATATTTATAACATTTTTATAAAGTGCAATGCAAAAATAACTAGTGTTATTTATTTATTTTTTTTTTAAATCCTTCTTGGCTAACGATAGTATTCTAATTTGTAATCGATCACCAAGAATTGGTAACTTTTTGTTGATGCTGAGCCAAGATCGACAATGAAGATCGTGCAAAAAAAAAACAAAAAAAAAAAACTGATAGCGCATTAAAAATCAATCACTTTTTGGGAGCATTAGAAATATAAGATCACCAATACGATTGAGCGGACGTGAAAAAAAAGTAACTTTCCTGTTTCATTCAATCACCTCTGATTCGCATAATCGACATTTTTTTTATACTTAATGAGCTGACTGAAAATTAAAATTTGTTGTCTATTGTCCAGGTTATCAATTTTCCAATTGGACGCCTGTTAATGTGCAATTTTCAAAGATGTACTTCTCGTTAATTTTGCTTATTTTTTTTTCAATATTTCATTCAACATTCAACAGAAAAAAAAACAAAAAAAATCAAATACAAAGTAACAAAAAAAGGTTTTTCAAAATATCAAGCCAAAGATAACTACTTTATAAAGAGGGTAAAAGTTCATTTATTATTAGTTTAAAGATGATTTAATTCAGCAATTTTGCCTTATAAAAAGACAAGATTGGGAATCATTATTTTGCCACGTCGTCAAACAGGTAAAACAGTAAAAAACAAAAACATGCAAGCAATGGAAAAAAGAAGAAATTATTAAATGAAATCCCTCTCTTCTTTTAGGATTTTATTTTCTTTCTTTTTTTTAAATTAAAATAAGAATATTTTACAAAACAACTTTTTTATTTAAGCAATTTTTAATTGGAATTGTTTTTCTACAAAACAAAAAAGAGCCAAAAAATACGTAAATACATCCGTAAATTATACATAAAAAAAATATGAAATATTGAAATCTTACTTTTAAATGAAAATTAATCTGGCTTTGTAATTTAATTTACATTTTTTGTTTTTTGCTTTTTGATTTTTGCTGTTAAATTCGGAATTAGATAAAATTGTAATGAATGTTGGTTATTTTTACTCCCACATGAAAAAACAAATTGATAAACCAATTTTATTTTTAACCATAATTCTAATAATCGACTGAGTTGCGATATTTTTTTAGCGGAATTAGTAAACAAATATTTACTAACAGACGATTTTTCGCTTTAGCCAAAATTTTTTCTGTACGAGTTGAAGAATTGTTCACTTTATAATTAATATGCTTAGCTTAATTTGAAATTGAAAATTTGATATTTCTTTAAATATCCGGAAAAAAAATGAAAAATAGAAAAGACGATAACGCCACTAAACAAACAGTAATATTGCGACTCTTCTTTCGAGGCAGCCGGTCGGAGGAGAACGCAGAATGAGGGGGGGGTGATATAGAAAGGAAGGGAGAGGGTGTGATAGTGGGGGATAAGCAAAAGTGACGAGGTAGGGGGATATATATATCACGTGGTTTCGTTAGTTTAAATGTATTCTCTTATTGGAAGCTGATAGTTTTCTTTTCCTCTGCCGGTTTGAAACTATTTTTTTTTTAACAGAAGGCGAAACGTTTCTTTTGTTATAAGACTGGAAAAAATCGAAACTCGATAGATAAAACCTAATTAACCTTGGTTAAATAATTTTTTTACTATTTTAATCGCTACAAGTTTTTATGGCGATAGATTGCACAAGAAGAAGAAACATTAATTTTTCATAATCAGAAAACCTTAAATCAGGATTTATTCGTTTTTTCCTCTTTTGGACCGCTACTTAAACACGGACTTGACGTAGCAAACAATATTTAAAGGTAGGCAAGGAAAAATTTAATTTAAACTTTTTTTTTTTAAATCATAAAGTACAATATTACGTTATTTTTTTTTTTTCTTTCAATTCAAATTTATAGTTGAGTATTTTTTTTTTTTTTTGTTTGATTTGGATTTTTTATTTATCTTCGCTGTTGAAGACAAAAATCTCTTGTTGCATTCATTATCATTTCTCCTTTCGTCTTTTATATTTTAGTTCGTGTATATGAATCTGTTGAATAATTTAGAATTTAAAAAAAAAAAAATTAACGGAAGCATAATGTGAAAGCCGATTTTATTTCTAAAAATCTTAATCGTAAATGAATTCTGATTACTTTTTTTTTTTTAAGAAACAAACAGGCTTTATTTTTGTCTACCATTTTCCTACAATATCCGTATTTTATACGGTAGAAGATATTTTCAACAATGTCTTATTATGACTAAATTGTGTGACTAAACTTATTGACATCTGACGAATATATTTTCATTTATTTCTTTGTTAAAAATTGTTACCCTCGATGCAAAAGCTTTAAATTCTTTTCATGGGTGAGGTGACGTGAAGTCAAGCTTCTACCTGTATACCTGATCACCATATTAACGCGTATTTGAAAGAAACTAGTTTTAAGAGTAGGACAGTTAACACGTCTTGCTAAAAGCACTTTAAAGATTCATTGATTTCTCCCACCGATTTTTCCGCAGACCTATTTTAATGTGACCCAAGAAATGAGTATAAATGTATCCTTGATGTACCTATTGTTAGATGCTAGAGATCGATAGAGAGTAGTAGAGCCCTCCATCATTTTGCGTATAGCTGTGTAGTCAGCAGTAGTAGCCTGTTGACTCTTATTATTTATTTCAATAGAATTAAACTATAAACTATAATTTATTAGTTTTTTATAATATTGTAAAATTAATATTAGATTAATTGGGGTTGTTTATGATCAAATAACTCGTTACTCATACTGTTACTTTTTTTTTTGATTTCTCTCTAAGAATGTCTCGTGTGGAGGCGAAGAAAATTATACATGTTTTTATTATTAAGTATGCCTGTAATTCTGCCTGAACTGCTTTTCTTGCTGTAGTAAAGCACACGTATACAAGAGATGGCAGAAAGATCTTTTCTTTTTTTTCTTTCTGAATATTTTCTTATGAAGTGGCTTTGAGTGTCTTCTTTCTCTAAATCGGTTCATTTAAAAGTAAATTCTTTAAACTTCCGAAAAATATTGCTTTCAGGATGTACCCCACCTTCAGCTTATCTTCGTTTCGTTGAAAATTCTGAAATAAATTCTTCGAAAATGACCGTTTATTTAGAATTGAGAAACTCATTTGATGTAGATTAAGACCTCTTTTAAATTTAATTTATAATTCATTAAATTCACAAAATTCTTTCGAATCATAACAAATCAAAATAATAATTTCAGTTTGATAATGTGCCATTTACGCTCGGTTATATCATAATTAAAAATAATTTAAGGTTTAATTGGTAAAAGAATATTCTGAGTGTGAACCTTCATTCATGCCTTTTCGCAATCAATTAATGGTTACAAACGACTATGTATGAATGTCCGTAAAGAGAAGAAGAAAGACGTTATTTCCTTTCCAGCTTTTGCGTTATATCGTCACACACAGTATCTAAATTTCCCCATTTATAAAATTAAAATCTTATTTACATTTTTAAATTCTTTATATGAAAAGGTGTTCTAGGTACCTTAAGTTATCACTAATTCGCTGAAAAAACAGCATAGCATAATGAAAAAAGGTTTTGTTTTCTTTTGTAGATGTATCTTTTTCATTAAGTAAATAAATGATTTTCTTTTTAAACGTTCTTAGATACGGAAAGGCAGTTCATATATAATTTCATTTTTAGAAATGTCAAATTCACATAAAAACAAACGTATTGAATTAGAAGCTGGCATATAGTTTTATTTACTAATTGTTGGTTAGTCATTTGATCTCTAGCTGCTTGAAGAGCTGACTTTTTTTTTCTTTTTTAATTTTATTTTTAATTGACTACATGTTGCCAATTCTCATTTGTTTTCAGGAGATAAACCAGAAACATGAATTTTTTTTGTTTTTTTTTAATTTACTCAACAAAACAATCGTTCGAATTTTTATTTTACACAAAGCCGCTTTACCTTCTGATACACTTCCTGCTCCATTCGCAATTTTATAATTTTAGATTTTATTTTTAGTAGCTAAAAGCTAGAGCTTTGGTGTTATTTATTCATTTTGTGTGGCTTTTTTTACATGCTTCTGAAATAGGTACCTCCATAATTCGGTGTACGTAAGGTTAGATTTTTTTTTTTTTTTTTCAAATGAAAAAAATCTTTCTTGAAGCTTTCATTTTAGCTTTAATTGAAAGCTAACTGCTAAAAAGTATTTAAAATTTATTATTTCCAATAAGCTAAGCAAAATACTCTCTGGGGTATTTTAAACAAATTATTGATCGGAATCAATTATTTTTTTTCAGTAAAATCGATAAAAATTGGGTATTTTTGACACATTTGTAAAAAAAACAAAAGTTTATTTTGGGTTTTAAAAATCATGCAAAAAATGTATATTTCTGAAACGTTACATGAGGAAAATTAGCAAATTTAAAGTTAAATTAACCTGATTTGAAACACATATTACTTAGCATAAAATATTGTATACAAACATTTCTTAACTACTGGGGTCTAGTTTTTCTGACGTGTTAAATCGATTTGACAGCCGAACATGTTCTTAGTTAAGTATGGTGGAGCAGACGATAAAGTTTATAAGAGGAGACAATCCTTAGAACACGTGACCTTTTAATGCTAGATTTATCAGTTTATACATTCATACTTCAGAAATTCTGCACGTAATCACACATACAAAAGTAAAACAAATCAAAATTCTTTTGAAAATTTTCGGAGTTGTTAGTTTGGAATAAGCTTTATGATTAGTAAATATAGTTTTACTTAATAACAATATTTCCTAAAAGTTATTGAAAATTAATTTTAAAAAGTTAAAAACTTAAAAATTATTCATAAAAAATGAAAACAAATTTTGTAAAAATTCGTTTTTCGTCGAAATTTTTTCAGACAATATTGTCTTCAATATTCATAAAAGCAATTCAAAGCTTCTCTAATTAATCTCTTAGTTTTAATGCATTTTTTTAAAAAAATTTCGATTCAGAACAGATTTTCGGTAAGACCAGGTTCAGTTTTGCAAAAATAAATAAATAAATAAATAAATAAAATAAATCGGTTATTTAATTTCTCCAGGTTTTCATAACGGGCTGAAACACATAAACTATATTTTTACCAAGATTTTCTAATAAAAAAAAAAATTCAAAAGTAATTCTATTCATTTGTGAATAAGTCTTGAAAATTTAATTAAAATCCAACAATTATTTGATTATTATTTTTTATTTATTTTTTGTAAGAATTTCCAAATTAATGTCTGTCAAAAAAGAAGCTAAAAACTAAAAATCAGTATACGACCGCTGACGCAGGGAAAAACACGTTTTTTAATCAAAATTTTTAATATTCTAAAAAGGAGTAAAAAAAAAAAACAAAAAAAAAAACTTAATAATAAAATAACATAACGATTTTGACGATAAAACTGTTTTTATTAATCTGGAGGTTGTTTTTCACAGTATGCTTCTTTTTGTTTGTTTTCGTTTTTTGTTAAGCGTTTTTTTCGTGGATGTGCCTACCTGAAATCATTTTAACGTTATTTAAGTTTTGAATATTATTACTATAATTTTCAAATTTTAATTTTAAATTGTTTTAAAATATTTTTTGGTATTGCATTTTTCTTTCGCATAATGCAATTGTAACATTATCAATCATAGAGGAACTATGCATTATTGTTTTTACTTAGGTTAAGAAGATTAACTTCTTAAGTACTTGAGCTTAATCTTAAGCAAAGTTCTGCTCTTATTAATGAGTGGGACAGGGACTTTACAAACAGTATGTAAATTTTAACATTGAAAAATGTAGCTTTTTTTCTTTTTTTTTTTTTTTTTTTATTGTGATTTCTTCCTACTTCTATCAAAATCTTTTTTTTTTTTTTTTTTTTTTTTACCTCACCCCACTTAAAAAAAAAACTATTTAATTTACATTATACAATATTATTACAAAAAAGAATAAGTAAATCAGTTGTTTTGCAACACTGAGTCTACTATTCAAGCTTCTTAATATTTTTTAATGTTATCAACATCCATTGCAATTTAAATTAAAAATAATTATAATCCAGGGACTGACAAGTTGTTTTATTTTTAGTATTTGATGTTCTTTAAACTTTGCATAATTTAGTCAAGTTTTGTTTATTGGACCAAGTAAGTTTATAAATTTCTTAATGTTTTCTCTTAAAGGCAAAATGGGTGATGCTGAAGTTGGTGTGATAAATTATAACAATAATGTTGATGGGCTCAAAGATCCTAAACCTTCCATGTAAGTAATTTTTTTTTATTTTGAGTTGCTACTTAATTTCACCTTATTGTCATTCTTGAACTCCATTTTGGCATAATATGGACAAGTTCTGCCGATAAAATTTTTTTATTCAATCTCTCAAATTTCTGAATAAGTTTGTTTTACCGATAAATTTGCCAAAATTCATAATTACTTTCTTTTTTTTTTCTCTTCCCAAGTACTTTCGAATGATACTCCTCCACCGAGTTCATTCGTTTTCAAGGATTGTCCATTTATGACGTCACCTTCAGGGATAAAACAGGAATTAAACACCAATTGCGTAACTACACACAAGCAAAATAATCCTTGAAAACTACTGGAGTATCAATCGGAAGTTCTTGGGGTGAAAAAATAAAGTTAACATGAATTTTGGTAAATTTACTGATAAACAAAACAACTTATTTGGAAGAGATATATATATATATATATATATATATATATATATATATATATATATATATATATCTGGCCACTCGTATTTGAGGATACCCGCCTACTAGGGCAGCTAGCCAATCCCTATTGCAGATGCTCGCTCAGGTGCATTTGTGTTCAACACTCACTGAGCTCAACTGTGGTTTATACTGCAACTAAGCTGAGTAGACCTTAGTTACAGTTTCTGGGAGAAAGCATGTTATCCAGCATTATCAACAGCTTGAACAAGGCCAGTATGCTCAAACCCTAGGTCATGATGACTTTATGCTGGCACAGCAATCAATGTGTTCTGTCTACCCAATTTCACTCACAAGTCTTAGGTCAACCCATGGCATGGTTTTTCAAGCCCTTTCCAAAGGGTCCACATACTGGGATCGAAAATCTAGGGGTGGTGGATCCCAGTATGTGGACCATTCGAGCACGCAGATATATATATATATATATATACACACACACACACACACACACACACACACACACACACACACACTCTATCTATGATACTACAATGTTAGTCTTATTTAACATTGTTACACAGCAAATCCAAAGGTATTGCATTATTCATATTAATATGAATTTAAAAGTTTATTTAATTTTGCTCACTATCTTTTTGCATATTCTCTCTTAACCTAACAAAAAGAGGAATGAGGACTTTTAGTCAGTTTATTTTTCTGTTTATCCTTTAAAAATTTCGGGGTCTCTGTCCTAATTATCTTATACATGATTAAGCATGTTCAAATATCTGTCGAATTTCTAGTATAAGGAGTTATTTACATTTGTCAGTTTTTAAACTGAACACTTTATTTAATCTACAAGAATATATTGTTCTTGTTCTACTGTCAGTGCGATAATAATAATGTTCAAATAAGTCTGTGAAAAATTAAACTTCATATTTGCTATACGACAATGATGACATACTGGAAGACTTCAGCAGATCCATCATAGTTCTGCCTAAGAAGCCAGGTGCAAATGAATTCATACTTCATGTGTGGTATGTGTAGTAGAATTAGACTGGAAATAAGACAAGTGTGGTTTTGTTAAAGACACTGAAATAAGAAGTGCAATATTTAAGTCAGAGCTAGCAATACAAATGCAGAAGAATGTATACCTATGTTTCATACACTATACAAAAGCATTTGATAAGGTTTTGATATAAAGATCTATTTGAAAACTTGATTTATTTGAGAAAGATATTAGAATAATCCAAAACATTTACTGAGCACAAATCACCTGCATACATGTGGTAAGTCAATTGAGCAAATATGTAATAATAGAAAGGGGCATGAGACAAGGCTGCATCTTCTCACCAGATTTACTTAACCTCTACAGCAAGTATTACTGGAGTATCATTCGGAAGTACTTGGGATGAAAAAATAAAAAGTTAACAAGAATTTTGGTAAATTTATTTATGGAAGAATATATATATATATATATATATATACACACACACACACACACACACACTTGACAATATAAAATCATCATAGAATACTCTCTCCACCTACAGCAGAGTTCATTTAGCATTGTCATGTGGTTTGGTGAGCCTTCCTCTTCCATACTGGCTAAGGGCATCTTGGAAGAATTAGTGATTTTTCAAATATAAGTCATAGTATTTAATCAATAGCTTGGTGTAGAAGAGATGGATTAATGTCTTTCTCAATGGTATTTGAGCATAATTGAATGTAATGAACTTGACTTTAACTTGGCTCTTTGATTTCTCATTCTAAGCTGCTATCCATTATATCACCTGCACATTCTCAAGCTTACAGCGTGGTGTTTAAACATGATATATCTGTAAACAACAACAAAAGATATACAGGTGATAATTTGTTGATGGCAGACACAAGGAAAATTGCAGGAACTCCTAGGCAAGATGTGGAAAAAAGCAGGAAGAAATGACTAACGATCAATTGTCAAAAGAGAGAGTGAATGGACATTAGCAAAAGGAACAGTCTAAGATGTGAGCTATGAATTGGAGATTTCAAAATCAAGCCAGTACAGAAGTTTAACTATCTGGAAAGTGTTTTAACAGAAATGTGACATCAAAATCCAAATGAACTATTAAGAAACGGGGAAATTTCATTAGAAACAAAGTGCTAAATTGCTATGTATATCAGTTCACCTATATGGTAGTGAATGCTGGAAAATTTCTTTGGATGAAGAGGAGACTTCATCTGTGAGACAACATGGACATGGTTCTGTCGATGGATGTTGTGCATATCATGGACAGAACATGTGAGCAATAAGTATGTTTTAAGGAAAATTGAATTTGAAATTCTAGGGACATGTAAGAATGAGAGAGGGCTTCGAGAATATGATACACACAGGACATATTGAAGGGCAGACAGAAACTGCAGAACCTACTTAACGAGCTTGTATAAGTTGATTACAGAGTGGGAGTGACAGTAAAAAGACAAAAATTGCTTAGAGTTACAATGCATAAGTTGGGATCACCCATGCCCTGAAGAGACATGGCATATGAAAAAAGATGAGATAACTTTGCTTTTTATAATTCTGTACCATGTTCTGCATTGGCATTGAGTGAGGTTTGCAGATTAAGATGCCATGAATATATTGCTATAAAAATAAGTTGTATTAATTCTTAGACAATATCATTTAACAGAATTGTATTTTGATAAGTAGTCAATGTATAAATAAATAAAAAAAAATTTAAATTTCTTGTTTTAGAAAATACTGAATTACAAAAATTATAGATTATTAATACTTCAGAAACTGTGTACACAATATCTACAATATACAATGAAGTATTAATAAAAGTATCAATTTTTGAAAAGATGTAAATATGTCAAATTTTAAAACTTTAATTTGAATCAATAATCTTTATATTTACACTCCTGACTTAATTTAGTGTATATTGCAAAATTTAACTCTTATTGCTTACAAAGTGTGAATTCTATGAAGGTCAACTGAAAAGTTCATAGGCTAACCAAAATACTCATATGGAATGTGACCAAATAGGTTTTATTTTTTCAACATTGTCCCCCCTTGTGGTCTATACACTTCTTCCATCAGTGTTGTAGTGCTTAGATCCCATTGGTGAAGAAGTTTTCATCTTGTTTGTCAAAAGTTATCAACAGCAGATATGTCATCACTGCGATAATGGTTCCAAGCCAATTGTTTTTCATGTTAGGGAACAGATGATAGTCATATGGGGTCATCAAGTGAATAGGGAGGGTGATCAACCAGTTCAAATCCACAGTCATGTACAGCAACCATTGAAATCAAGGACTTTGGTGCTGGAGCATTGTTGAAACAAGACCTCTTTTGTCAGTTTTCTTTGGTATTTGGTCTTGTTAGCCTTTTGTAGTTGCCTCGATAAGTTGGCGTAGTACTCTCCATTGATGGTGTGGCCCTTTTGAAAATAGTCAATACACACAATGCCTTTTGCATCCCAAAAAACTGAAGTTATAACCTTCCCTGCAGATGAAATGACCTTGGCCTACTTTCCAGCAAGTGAAGAGAGGTGTTTCCACTGCATGGATTCTCTCTTTTTCTTTGGCTCAAAATGATGAACCCAACATTCATTTTGGGTTAAGAAATCTTCAAGGAAACCAGCTGGATCTGCTTCAAATAATGTCAGATTTTCCTGTGATATGATCAGCCTTGTACACTTTTGATCAGGTGTTGGAAAATGTGGCACACATTGAGCCAAGTTCATTGTGCAGAATATTATCAACTCTCTCACATGATAGCAGTGGTTATTTGATTTATAATTAATTGCCTGTTATCATCCTCATGTAGTTATCAACGTTTTCTTGAATGGTAGTTGACCTTGGGTCTTCAAGACACTCCCTTCCCCTCTTAAATTCAGCTGTCCACTTTTGCACTGTTGATAAAGCTGGTGCATCATCCTCTAATATAGCAACCATGTCAGTATCAATGTCCTTAGGAGATAAATCCTTTTTCTGCATATACTTGATAACATCACAATGCAAACTTTTTTCCATTTTCAAGAGAAAGTCACTACGAGTTAATTTTGAAGTCTTCTTTGAATGGTTGGATGTTTGTTTACCTGGAAAGAAAAAAAATTGCAATTATTAAGGGTAAAAATTAATGCATGCAAGATTTCACAGCTCTAGCATTACTCCTTCATAGTCAGCCTATGAACTTTTCAGCCCACCCTTGTAAGTTTATTTTAAGATCTTGCAAATTAGCATTTATTTTAGCAGTCCTATTTGTTTTCCATTGAATTTTTTTTTTTTATTTTATTTTTCAGTTCTGTCACAAATGGACAGAAAGCATCATTGAATGGAGTGCCTTTTGGAACAAAACCTACTCCTGAAACTGTAACCCAATCTCATGTTGACACAACTATCAACTATGAAGGTAAATTTATAATATAAAATATGTAGCACTTGAAGTTGAGCATTCAGGCCAACTGAAATCCATTTAAAGCAATCAAGGTTATTCAATATCAACACTTGATGTCATTTTTTTTTCCCAGTAGTTTTAAATATTAATTTCTCTTTTACATTATTGCTTAAAAATAAAACTGTTTATTAGATAAAAACTTTGTCTGCTATTTATATAAATTATGCTATGCTAAACTAAATGTGTGTTGAGTCCATATTTATGCTTGAAGTGTCCTAGTACATCAGATTTTCTTAAGTAGCATGTATATTCAAGGTAAACAATGTTGCAAATAGTTTATTAGTAAAAAGTACATTTCTATTAAGGAAAATTCAAATGATGGGGAAATAAATGTAAAATACTTTTTCTTATTTTCACAAATGATTGAGAGACTTACATTGATCTTTGTAGTAATTGGCCACACATTGATGTTTTGGTGGAACTGGTTTTGATACCTTGATTCTCTCATAGTATTTCTTTTCACTATGCTCACAGTTTACAGTACCAAAATCTGTTGGCAAGTAAAATTGATATGAGAATGCAAGAAGTGTATTTATAGAGATCCTAGGCATCCTATTCTTTGATCAGCTGTTAGCTTTCAGGTGTCAATTTAAGTAACCTTCAGGTAATTTTGAACTGAACTCTTTATTGAATCTATGGGTTTAGATTGTTTTCACTCTGCTCACCATGTTTAAGGTGTAGGGAAATATTGTCTTAATTATTGCTTGCTTTGTTTCCACTGCGTTTGTTCTACCCAACTTGAGGATTGAACTCACAATTACTGTGTCACCAAATTCATGAACTATTGCTTTAATTAAAGATTCAGCTTGAAATTACCTAAAGGTTACTTGTCTCAACAAATACCTGCAGACCAGAGGGCATAACGGTTGAAATGTGATAACAAAGATGAGGATATTAGTCCTAATGTAAGTAAGGTTTCTCTAATCATGTGCATGCATATAGCACAAAATTTGTTAGAACAATTCTGAGTATCAAGTTAGAATTGATATACTAACATTAGTTTAAAGCACACACTTTGTTGCCTACTGTTATGTTCATCCATTGGTAATAAAAAATTTAGGCAATGATAAAAAATTTCTGGTTCTATTTTGAACAACTAAATATAGAATAAAAAGTACATTTTTATTTGTAACTTTCCCTTGAGTACACTGTCAGATTTTATTATACAAATCAGTGTTTTCACAATGAAATTGATGTTAGCAAACTTCTGTTAGTAAAATTATCAGGATATGTTTATGAATGTGAATTCCAGTTTCTAATGTTAGAAATATTTACAAAAATATCTAATGTATGTTCATTTACTCTTACTCTAGTAAGGCCGATTAGTCTGACAAGGTGACATGGCAGCCAATGCCCAAAACTATCTAAAGTTTGTTGTTAACTGGGGAAAAAGATGGTTTGTCAGTTTTAACATCTCAAGCTAAACTTCTCTGTATTAATCATCTGAGAGACCTCTCTGTCTTCCATCAAGGTAAATTTATAATATAAAATATGTAGCACTTGAAGCTGAGCATTCAGGCCAACTGAAATCCATTTAAAGCAATCAAGGATATTCAATATCAACACTTGATGCAAGACAATTTTTCTCTCCAGAATCCATCTTGCATATCTATAAGTCTATCATTCATCTGTGTTTAAAATATTGCTGCCACATATGATCCAGTGCCCCTGCTATGCTATTTTCCTTGATAAAATCCAAAGAAGAATCAGCAATATTATTCGTCCAGATCTTGCAGCTCGTCACCAGTCACTTTCCCACCACTGTAAGGCTACCTCTCTGTCTTTTCTATAAGTACTTTTATGGTAATTGGATGAGCTCTTCACTATGGTATCTAGATGTTTTGACTTTAAGTGCAGTACTAGACTGGTGTCACGATCAATTTACAATTGAGCTGGCTAGATGTAATCATAAATTCTATGCTAACAGTTTCTTTTCTTGCACTTGTTGCTTGTGTAACTCTTTTCTGGTTCCATGCTTTCCAGCCAACTTTAATTTGCAAAACTTTAAATGCAATATCAATTGCTATCTACTGTCCTCTTGATTATGCTTTCCTCTTCTAAATCATTTTTAATGTTTCTGTTCCTAATTCTACATTCTGTAACCCTTTGTGTCTTAGTGGCTTTACTGTTTTGCATGGGGTGATACTGATTTAAAAAAAAAAAAAAGTATGTAATAGATATTTTATCTTTGATTTTTTTTTTTTTTTTTTTTTTTTTTAGGTATATAAAAAATGCTGTGTGTTGTAAGAAGCAAGATATTGTAAAATTCTTGAATGTTAGAATATTAGAAATTGTGAAAATTAAAAAAGAAACTGCAACACTGACAAAGTAAGAAATTCTTTAAGAATACCATCAAGAGAAAAAAAAAATTTAAACATTAATAAGCAAGAAAAGTCTATATATAGACCAGCAAGAAAAATGTTTAAAGAAACTGGTGTTGTAAACATTGGCTAAAGACATGAAAGTAATCAAACTATCCTATTTAAGTAAACATTACAAAGAGAAACTTGTAAATTAGACAAAGGAATGCATTAAAAATGATTTCACAACACTAATTTTTTAACGCGTTACATTCAATGCACTTGATAGTTGGATCCTTCATGGAAATTGTCAGCCAATGTGACTTAGAAGACAACAGGTGGGGAGATGAATTAATGACTATTGCACACCTTGCTTAAAAAAAAAAAAATAAATAAATAAATAAATTTCAGACAGTAAATTAATGAAATGGCCCCAGCTTCTAATCCAATAGAAAACAGATGTATATGGTAATGGAAATCCAAGCAAAGATCTCTTGGAAGTAATAAAGTCTGCTGTTAAAGTCAAAACAGGAGAAAAGTTAGCAAAAATGTTAGTGAAAGACTAATGTGGTTATAGAATGTTAAAGATGCCATGTTAAGAAGTAAAATAAAATAATTTATTTTGGTATGTCGTATTAATCAAATGTTTCTATGTCCAATATCTTTTGATTTATAGATAAAATCTTATGTTGCACTTGGTTTAATAAAAATCCCAACCTTAAAACAAGTTACTATCAATATTTTAAATTTAGGATAAATATATATTTACTGAAACTTGTATAACATATTGCTCATTTAAATAAATTCTGAAAATAGTACCAACATCATTTGGTTAATACAAATTTTGTGAAAACATTGATTTGTATAATAAAATGTGTGTGTAAGGAAATAGCAATACATGAGTTGGTGTCTAGGGATGCCATAAGTCTACCATGGAGTGATGGACTCTTGGTTTTCATCAGAAAATCTTTCTAGGAGAGGGGAAGCTTTAACACCTAAAGTGCAATTAGTTACTGGTCATCCTAACATCTATCGTTTCTCAGCTGGTTGCTCTGAAAAGTTTATTTTTGTTCAAAGTTTTATCCTCTAAACAGTCATGCACAGGGACTTCTCTGACTTGGAATGGTTTTTGGATGTTATATGAAATCCTTGTGGTAATGTTGCACATAGGCCTGATGTGGTAGAAGTGTTGCAACTACTAAAGTTAGTGTCTACCAAACATGTGTTCTATCATCACTTTTGTATGGTTGCAAGATTTGGACAACCAGGCATATAAAACATCTGGAAAACTTTCATCAAAAATGCTTGTCAAGTTATGAAAATGTTATGGCAATTATGACTACGCAATACCCTTGTGCTGCAGGAAAAATTATGAGCATTGGTTATGAGAACAGATTGGCTGATAATGTAGTATGTCCAGATGACAGTTGACTTCTAAGACAAGCACTATATGATGAACTGACCAAGACAATGTCCACAGTGCAAGACACACAAATGCTACAAAAACTACCTCAATGACATACTTAACATCAATATAGACATCAGCATTTGGGAAGATCTTGCTTCTGAAAGTCTACTTGGAAGACATTGCTGATGACTTGTATTAATAACTTTTAGAAGTACCGGATTGAATACAGAGCTGAAACAGATGCGAGAACTTTAGTCCCTTCCTAGAAGTTACTAAAGAGTCTCTCACCTGTGCAGAATGTATATATATATATATATATATATATATATATATATATATATATATATACACACACACCTTTCAAACGCTGGCTTGATCTGAGTTTTCATTTGCATGGAACTTTCTTTTCCTTTGCTGCAGCCTTGGCTCTTTTGATTGCAATCTGGTCCTCTGTTGACAGATTTCTTTTTGCAAGGCATACTGCTGCTGTATGCAATAGGCAACAATAAACTACAGAAGAACTTAAAAGCGATCTCTGCATTTAAATATTGCATTAATATTTAAGCTTACCTTTTAAAAGTTCAACGATAATTCTTCTGCTGCCACTTAATTTAAAGACAGTCCTTGCTTTCCACACAAACAAGTATTTTTATTTAATGGGTAACTTTTCATTGGATTTCACAATTAATTTTGATTATTCCCAAATTTATTTCTAAGTTATAAAATTTTTTTCATACAAAAAAATTTGTCGCAAAAAATCACATAGAAAAAAAATCGCTGAAAACTTGGGAACTCAAAATTTCAGGATTGCAGGTCTGAATCCAGCCTGGAAAATTTTTTTAATTTGCTCACAGAGTTGGCCTGGTTCCAAAACTGTATATGCTGGGCTACAGCCTCTAGGAGTAAAGTTGAAAACACGTACAATTTTATTTTGAAACACTGTAATTTGAGAAGAGTAATTTATTTATTTATTTTTTCCACTTGAACATGCACTATTGAAAGTTAAGAGTTGTGTCCCTTTAATTGTTTTTATCAGTAGAAGCCAAGATGGTGGAATCCGAAAACAATCACAGTAATGAAAACTTGAGTATCCAAAATTTCAGGATTGCGGCTTGTGCAGTCGGTCTGATTAAAAAAATGATATGATATATGTTGGGCTACAGCCTCTAGGAGTAAAGTTGAAAAACTGCGCCAATGCTAACATTCATATATATATATATATATATATATATATATATATATATATATATATATAGAGTGTGATTTTTTATCTGGACTTCATTATTTTGAAATTAAAGTTTTCCTTTATGCTTTTTTATTTTAGATGTATTCTGTTACCAGAAAAATTATTACTGGAGTTGAATGGGATTATTTTACAAATTCTTTATTCCTCTTTCAGACCTCAACAAAGTTGTTCCTGCATCTTCCTATATATCTTCAAATTCATTAGAACCCGTGAAACTCAGGATTACTGACAAAGAGTATGCGAATAATTCTCCTAAGTCCATTCCATATTTATTTCATCAGGTTGTACAAAGAATTCCAAATGTTACAGCCATGGGTATGTTAATTTCATCTTATTTGAGTGGACATAAAAGTTATTTTGTTACAGTCTTTCCATTAAATTGTTAATTCTGCTCTAAATGATATTTTATAAATGCTTTCATGGAAGTTAGAAAAAAAATGACCACTATCATTTTAGAATTATATTTTTAAATACAAATAAGAGAAAATATGGTTATCCTCTAGAATTAGAAACTTGAATTTGCTTAATATTCAAAGTTATCCTTTAATCTTGGCCCTAGAAATGTCACCCGATCCTTTAACTATTGTTCAGTCTTAGTTCTTCATTGATAAAAAAAGGCTTTGAATCCAATTAGATTTATTGTTCATAAATATTTATGTCTCTTAGTATACAAGACTATATAAGAAAGTTCCTAGACTCTGTATTGTCATTGTACCATTTAATGTAAATGTATGCACAGATAATCATACTTTGGTGCCCAGTCTACTGAGTCAGTGTTGCCAATAGATTTCTCAGGCTCTTATCTACTCCTGTTCAATTTTGTTGGAATCTTTGGCTGACAACTTTGAGCAATGTTCCTACATCAAATTTTTGCAAATCTACAACTAAAACTCTTGAAATGCTTCAAAACCTTTGACAAACCCGCTTTAGATTAACCAAGGGTTTTTGAATGTCACTTCAAGGTGAGTGTTCAGGGTGACCAAACATCAATAAAACCTCCAGAAAATGTGGAACAAATTTGCAAATTCATCCTAGAGGACCATTGCTAAACCAACCATCCACTATCACTCTCACTTGGTTAGAATCAGTCATGGAAGCTGCCAGGAAATACTCACAGAAAGCATTAACTTATTACTCTTGGTACTTTGGTGCATGCATAAGGTACTGGGGTCACTGTTTACATTCCCAAAAAGGATATATGTGCTGTTTACTGATTTAAAATTTTTCTCTCTCTATATTAAAATCTTTTCCTGGAAATTTTACATACATGCTTATAAATAAACAAATGAGTTTTATATTGTATTATAAATTGTTTTTCTTTGCAGAAAAATGGTTATGAAATATCTTAACACATGAACAATTAAAATCTGTTAAGTTTAACATTGTTTTTGTTTACTTGTACAATATTTTCTTATTAAGTATCTTCAATAAAGACTATATTTTAGATAAACACCAGTTCATATATTTGTCAACTATAAAGACAAAAAGTTTTATTCAGAAAGTTCTTTATGGTAATTCCTAGCTGGATGTTTGTTTCTTTTTGTTTGTTTTTGTTACTAAAGAATCTTTTAAATAAAAAGCAATGACCTGTAATAAGTACCTCATTGTGCTTTTCATGAAAACATTTGACAAAAATACCAGAGATATGTATTAAATTTCTAAAGTTAATTTAATCATTAAACCATTACTCCTAAAACTGAGGCAATATAAAAATTGCCCTTTTGTTTTTGTTTTAATTTTTTTGTGAAAAGTTTTGTATAAGAAATTAAAATTATTTTGTCTTTTGAAATTAATGAGTTTGAAAATAATTTTAAAATTTATCTAGAGTAAATCAAGTTTCCTTTAATTTTATTAAATATCAACCGAAATATCTTGATACTAAAAATATTTAAGTTTTTATGTCTGACAAAATTAAGTCAGTTGTCATTTTATTTGAAACTTTCAAAAATATGCCTTGAATCTGAAAATAAAACTTTAATATTTTAAAATTTTTTTTTTTTTTTTTTTTTTTTTTTTTTACCACCTCTGAAACATTAAATAAAAACATTTTAATAATTGATAAACAAAACAATGTTAACAAATCTCAGTGAGTCAGCGATTTATTTTTTTTATTTATTTTTTTTTTCCATAACTTACAGAAAATATGTAATTAGTGTGGAAGATTAATAAAATAACATTACTCTTTTTGGCGACTCTTAGCACTTTTAACATGAAAGCACATGAACAAAAAAAATGGCTTTTTGTCATAGGATTCATTTTTAGATGTAACCAAAAAATAAAGAAACTGCTTTAAATATTAATTTTTTTTTTTTTTTTTTTATGACCTGTAAAAAAATGTATTTAAAACAGACGTTTAAATGTCAAATTGACTGGGTACTTTATTCTGTATTTGCTTGCCAATTTAATTTTTTTTATTTTTTTATTTTTTTTATAGTTGTAAAGAGAGATGGTGCTTTGCTAAAATGGTCCTATACACAATACTATGAACAAGTCCTTATTGTAGCTAAAGCTTTTATTAAGGTAAATTTTTTTTTTTTTTGTTTTGTTTAAAGAATTGTTTTATATAGACCAGACATAAATATGCAAATAGTAGTAACTTAATATTGTTTGCGAAGATGTTAAGTCTTTATTTCAGAAAAAATACAGCATACTCAAGGATAGCTCAGTTTAAAAGCAGTTCAAAGCTTGGATTGATTGCGTGTTAGTTTTTTTTTTTTTTTTTTTTTTTTTTTTTGTGTGTGTGTTATGATAAATTATTTTAGATTTCTATTTAATTTCATTTAAAGATATTAAATTAAATAACTTTTTGTTGTAGAGTAGGATATTCCTTATGTATATTTTATTTTTCAGTTGGGCTTGGAACCTGGGAATGGTGTTGGTATCCTGGGGTTCAATGCACCTGAATGGTTTTTATCAAACTTGGGAGCCATTTATGCTGGGTAAGACAAACAAAATCACTTGGAAATTTTTTGGTAATTCATTATCGGGATGGGGTGATGTTGGTGGTCAGTAGATTTTTACAGATTATCTGGCATGCAGAATTCCTTTAATTTAGCAAAAGAAGTTTTAAAAAATGGATATTCTGAAAAGTTTTGACAATGCCTAAAATGAGTGAACTGATCAAAATTGCCTTTTTTTTTTTTTTTTTTTTTCAAAACAAAAACAAATGCCCTTGTAAATCCCTAAATGATTATTAGTAATTATATCATTTGGTAATTTCAATTTTAAATACATCCTACATAATGTATTTTCTACTTGAGCAAATTAACTGGATTTCAATATATAGGTAAAAAATATAAAAAATATAGGAAAGGTAGTAAAAAAAAAAAAAAAATTTTTTTTTCATTCATTTAAAATTTAATTCCTGAATACTGATTTGAAATATCTGTGTATTTGATTTTCAGTGGTGTTTCTGTTGGTATTTATACAACAAATACTGCTGATGCTTGTGCCTTTGTGGCTGAAGACAGCAAAGTTAACATAATGGTTGTGGAAAATCATCAACAATTACAAAAAATTCTTGAGGTCAAACATAAACTGCCTTTGCTGAAAGCTATTATTGTATATTCTGGTGAAGTTGCTGTTAAACAGCCTAATATTTATTCTGTAAGTATTTTATGTTGAGGTTATAATAAACTTAATTGACAAAGTATTCACCAATTTACAAGCCTTATTTTGTGAAACTTTAATTATAACACAAAATTGACCAATTAAATCAATTAAAATTGAATCAAAAATTAAATCAATTAAACAAGATATATACATGTTTAGCAATAGATCTTGATGATTAACATTAGAATTAATTCATAATTTATATATTTTGTGTTGCATTGGTCATAAAGGCTATTGTAATCAGTATTCCATTATCATACAGTGACTTATCTATTGCTATCCAAGATGATGATTGAAATATTTTTTACTGAATACCACCATTCTGTATTTATCATGGCTGAAAAAAATATTGGTGTCTTTATTCTATGTAACTTTCTGCATCTGTTAACATTTTGTGTGTGTGTGTGTTTTTTTTTGTTTTTTTCTCTTCATATTCTAATGCGTTTTTTTTTTCCTCCAGTGGCAAGAAATAATGGATATTGGCCAGGAAGTACCCATGTCAGCCGTCCATGAAACATTAAAACTCATTGCCCCAAACAAATGCTGCTTGGTTATTTATACTGTAAGTGTCAACATTCATGTAAACAACTACTAACAAATATATACATATGGAAATTCACTTGTCAGTTTTTACAAAGTCTCTGTGCAGCTCTACCCTTAAATGTTAATTCTGTCACAAATTATTTTATACTGAGGAAAGATTGATTTGAAAATAAAGATATCTAAAGTTATAAGCATGTCTTTTATGGTATAAATTATAAAGTATTTTGCTAAGAAAGATAAAGTTGATAACTTTAGTTCAAATTTAAGCCATCATATGTAATTCAAGCAATTTTAGTATGAAAATTAAATTTTTCATTGCATCATGTGTATTTGTTTTTATTTATTTTTATTTTTTAAATGCTATCTAGTTTTATCTTGTTAAAAACTTATAGAATTTGTGGACCATGAACTTTAGCTGCAAATACTTTTCTAATGCCAACTTCTTTTTAAAATAAAAAGGTTAAATCTTTTTTTTTTTTTTTTTTTTTTTTAAAACTTCCATGTCTAATCTTTTAAATATTTAAAGAAGTAAACTTTAGACAATGTTAAAAATAGTGTATTTATTTTTAATTTACTTACATGCATTTTATTATGTAACTATATCAGTAGCTACTCTAGGTCATCAATGTTTGTCGGGCTCATTACAATCTTTAACAAAATATACTATTGATATAACTTAGATGCTAAAATGATTTCTTTACTATAACTAAAATATGTAATTTTTAAAAATCTCTGCATGAAATTAAAAAACACACATAGTATTTAGAATTAGTGGAATGCACTAGTCAGATATGTGTCTATCTAGAGTGTGTGTTTGTTTGTGTGTGTATGTATATATATATATATATATATATATATATATATATATATATAATGTGTGTGTGTTAGTGTATTAGTATGTATCTTTCTGACTGAATTTTCAGTTTAATTTATTGTACATTTATGATTAATACTGTTGACTGATATCATTGTTTCCTCAACACTACCCCAATTACTCAATCCATCCCTCCAGTCGAAAAGTTAAGGTTGCCACTTTCTTTGATTTTCACCAACTTTAAGTCAGGCTAAATATAATTTGCCATTTTTCAATTGATACATTCAGCTAAAAAAAGCTTACACTGTATGGAATAAATTATTCAAAACAGAAGAACGTTTGAAAACAATAAATTGAAATAAAAATGTATTCTTAAAAAAACGACATGTCATTAGAGAATTTTAAAAGATTATTTATATTAAAGCAAAAAATGCATTGCCTATTAAGTATATCTCCTGCTTCGATAGGGCTCAGACCTACGTAGCCCGACAAGTTACGTTAATTTTATTTTGTTCTTTTTACTTTTCTTCTTATCAACAATATCAATGAAATGTATTTTGGTCAATATCTTGAGGCACAGAATTAAAACAATTTTGGATCCAGCTGAAGTCAAGAATGAAAATGACACACTATGAAAGAATTTGTTGCTTTGAAATAGATATACTTAAATGTCGACTAACTCAGAGTCGGCACTGAACTTGTGTGTATATATATATATATATATATATATATATATATATATATATATATATATATATATATATAATGGTTATATGCCAAAAGTTATGGGATAATGTCTCATATTGTGTAGGAACTACTGTGAGCTGGAGAGATGTTGAACGATGTCATCTCAATAGCTGTCCACATTTCCTTGATATTTGTAGGTGCAGGACCTCCCCACCACATCCTAAAAATGCAAGATTGGTCTTGTCAAGTCACCATATTGGTTATACCATTCTTCAAGTATTTCCAGAATGCTCCTCAAGTCAACTTGGGTATTCAATAATGTGGTGCATTAACCTACTGGAATAACTCAACATTGTTAGGGTATATGAAATTTGTGAATTAGTGTAAATGGTCATCAGTCAGACACATTTAGGCAAGCTAGAGGACTCAACCCATGCTATGTAAACACACTATATAACATTTAGAGTATGGTGTTGACCCCATGAACCCCAATTGTGACTCCTTGGTGGGTTATATTTTCCATATGATACTTCCAGTATACATGTGACATTGTAGCTCAATGCTATGTCAGATGTCCTATCTGTCTTGCACCCACCATTATGCCATGTTTGAATTCTGTTAATTTACCTTACTATGAGCAGCCTAGTTCACACTCAATCATCAGATGTCTGTGCACAACTGATAGAGGCTTGGGTATTTCTATGTCAAAGTACAGAGGCACCACCTACCATTACCTTTCCTGCTTTCTCATTAATTTAGACATAACTTTGCATACATAAATAGTGTTGAAAAGTTCTTGGAATTACCAAGAAGAAAATAATTAAATTTTGATTTGAATTTGTCCTTGTATAAATTGTTCAAATATTGGGAAATAGCTTTTCAGCAACTCTTTGTGTGTGTGGACATGCATTCCGTCTGGTTGATTTTCAGGGTAAAATAACTATTTTATCAAAGAAAACCTTATTTGCAAGTATTTATTTATTCTATAGAGTGGCACCACTGGAAATCCTAAAGGAGTAATGATGAGTCACGACAATGTAAGTATAAAATTTAATTTGTATTTTTTTAAAAATTACTGATAACATCTAACATACTGATTTTTGCCCTTTTTTTTTAAAATTTTTTAATATTGTTCCTTTTTATTATTAAACATTTTCTTCCATCTAAAACAGGTGATAATATTCTCATAAGAACTTGGATTTTAGTCATATTTTTTATTTACATATATTTAATCTTGTACAGTAATTTTCTAGTTTGTATTTTTTTATTAAAGAATTTAAACGTTTTTATCATTTTTATGGATTTATTGATGTACTTACATGTAATAAGGGGAGGCAATCATAATAGTAAATTTCATTTGCTCGAAAACTAGTTTCACTAAAAGAATTAAATTGATTCTTTACTTCATTTTCACCTAAAAATCATAACTTAAAAAATTAAAGGGAGATAACTTTTATATCTTTATTTTTTTTTTTTTTTTTTTTTTTTTTTTTTAATTGCGTATCATTTAAAAACATTTTTTCATAATGAATACCATTTTTTTTTTCCTCCATAAATAATTCATCACTGAAGTTTTCATGTAAAAATGTTGCTTAATATTTTGGTATTAGGAATTTTTAAAACGTTTACAAGTGCAAATTAAATATTTTAAAATCTGTATTAATTCATATTGCTTTTTTTAATCTAATATTTATATTAGTTTTATATATATATATATATATATATATATATATTCACTACCTGAAAAAAGAATTTCCTTGCTTTTAACTGATTTTAGCATTAAACAATTGCATTCATATATTGTAAATAAGCAACAAATTAACGAGTATAAGTTTTAAAAGATGCATAACTTAAGAAAAAAAAAACGTGTATGTGTGATCTCCCTTTCATTTTCTGTAGATTTTTTTTTTTCTTTTCGTTTTGGTAAAATGAATCAACAAAGTGAATAATTCAACAGTTTAGATGAAGTCAGTTTTTGGAAAAATGACATTCACTGTTTTGAACCAAACCCATAAGTAATTAGATTTTATTACAAAAAAATGTATATCTGAACTTATGCTAATCTTTATATTAACTTTTCTAGCTCACCTGGACAGCAAATAGTGTCACAGAATTAATAACAACAAATTTTGGCAATGAGCATATTGTGAGTTACTTGCCCCTGAGTCATGTGGCTGCTCAGTTGTTAGATATCTACTTGGCCATTACTGTTGGTGCTACTGTGTATTTTGCACAACCTGATGCTCTTAAGGTAACCACTGACTTTATTTTTCTGATCTTAAAAATTATTTTCATCTTTAAGATAATTGTAAAACTTGTTTTATTTCTGCAGTACATCTGTTAATACTAACAATTTAGACATTTTTATCTCTATATATACTACTGGAAAGTCTGTAAAATGTTTATTGGGTAGCCTAAAATGTCTTTGTTATTAGATGACATTGAGAATATTTAGTTTTAATTAACTTCATTCAAAAGATCCACTTTATGACAGCTGGCATATTAGTATATTTGTGGAGAAATAATGTAATTCATTTACACTGGTTAGGTTATGATAGTCACTTTGATTTGTGGCTTGTGCGATTTGCTACTTACACATCATAAAAAAAATATTGTTTGCAAAACAAATTGTGATTAGTAATACACGGCTGTTTAAAACCCTTGTTTTTGTCATATAGGAAAATCCAACATGGCGCGTAAACAAAATATTCGGCAAAAAAATCTCATTCGTCAGTAACATTTTAAACACCTCATAGAATGTCAAGTTCTTAAAGAAAACCTATGCCAAAGTGTTTTCCTGAATTCTTGATGACTTGGCTGTCCAAAAATGATAATATCAAGATGAAATAATGGAAACTGACTGTGAAAAATACAATTATGCGCAACAGGTTTTCGATCAATTAGTAAACTTCTGGACCTTTTAGGGCGACTTTATAGGATCCAGACGGCTATTGTTTGCACATGGAATTATTCACTGGTAATTAATCTTCGATTTGACTGTGGAAAATGTCACTCGGTGGTTAGCATTAAGAAATTATGCCCAATTTTCTGAGAAAATTCAAAATTCATTCCTTTCTCTTTCATTTGGCATGAACATCATTGAATAAAAAGAACGGCTAAATGGGCCGGCGATGGGAAATACAAAAGATATGCGGCGAAAAAAACAATGTCATCTGCTAAGTGTTGTTGTCATCACCCGGGTCACGGGGTGTTAAAAACAAAACAAAACTCATCAAGCCATTGTTCAAACATAGGTTATATCAAGCCCTAGTCATTGTGAACCCTTTTTTTTTTTTTCACTCTTTGCTTTTATCTGGGAGTGGTGGGTTTTATTACAACTTGTTCTAAGGTTTGCCGTTATTGCTGGCTGACCTTTGACCTAGAAGTCAGTCAATTAAGTTTAATTTTCCTTATCATTTTTTGGGAAAAAAAACAAAAAAACGTTTGGTTTCTGGTGGTTAGGAATTGCAGATAAATCTCTTGCCTTTTACTAAAGATTTCCGTGGCTGGGTGTCAATTTTTTTTTTTTTTTAACCCTTGGCAGTCATATAATTGAAAATTAACAATGGATTTTGTCGCATTTTGTTCACCTAGGAATGTTGATTTCCTTCAAAACTCTCAATTTTATGCCTGAAATAGTTTGATTATGATTTAGGCTTTCGGATTTAAAAAAAAAAAATGGTTAATTTCCTATTAATGGGGGAAATATTTGTTTAGAACAAGAAAAAAATGCAAAATTTTCACTATTTGTTCACATTTTACCCACTAAAAAAAATTTTGAGTCATTTACACCCACTAATTTTACTTTTAAATGAAAGAATATATCCTTTGCTTTCAGAAAATACCTAGTTTCATGGGGTTCAGATCAAAAGTTTCCTTGATATTAGTTTAGATGATGATAAAACGGTCATTTTTCAATATTTTACCCTATAAAATTATGAAAAATCTTATTTTTGAGAGAAAAAAGCTTTGTGACAAAATGACTTTTGCCATTTTTGTGATGATTTTCACTTGGGAAAGACAATTTTTACCATAGGAAACCTGAATTGACTTTATTTAAGTTCAGTGGGGCTATAGGAAACCTCAAACAGCTGTGAATAAAAAGTAGATACTTTATAACATAGAATATAATTTAGGAGAGTGACTACTAACCAAAGTAATAGCTGGTTTTACACTAAAGAAGGTGGAGGTGCTATGCTAGTCTTACTCTAATTGTTCTTAAATCATGTAAAAAGTTTAGTTGAATGACCACACTTTAGATCATTTCATGTTAATGCAAGGCTCCTTCGGAGTTCTATTCTTGTGCCTACTTTGTATTTTATCCTCAACAACAACCACCCCTGATGTCATCAGTTCCCAACTTGGTGGTATTTAAAATGAATTGTAGCTATCAAACTGAGCCCCTCCCAACTATTGAAAAAAAAGAAAAGTATATATGTATATGCAATGTATGTATTCATCTGGTTGGTGTAAAATGACCCATCAGGATTGATACACTGTTAAACAAAATCTAACCAGCCAACGTAACTAGACATTTATGCTTATGACACAACTATTTAAGTGTCTTAATAGGAAGTCTGATATGTTCACCAAAGTAAAACTGGCAGCAGCTCTCAAAAATGGCCTCCAATCAGTTAACTCAGGCAAGAAATGGCTTGTAAATTTTAACACCTTCAAAATGAAACTACTATTTTAATTATCATAGAGAACCAATTTTGCCTTTCATCAGCATGATTGATGCTAACATCTAGAGACAGTAATTCATTGTTCCTTGGTCTCATGCTTTCTACTGACATGAAGTGAAGTGATTATATTGAATGAATTGCTAGGTCTGCTCCTAAGAAAGTTGGTTCATTGTGTCATGACACATATTACTTGACAGAATCTATCTATCTTGCACATTTATAAATCCATGCATTGAATATTGCTGCCACCTGGTCTGGTGCTCTGGTTATATATCTCAAGATTCTTGACAAAGAGTCTGTAATGTTATTGGTCCTGACCTGGCATCTCTACTTCAGTTATTTTCCCCCACTGTCATGAAGTGGCTTCACTCTGTCTTGTCTATTAATATTTTCATGGCAATTGTTCTAATGAACTCTCAGCTGCCTGAATTTAAGCATACTACTAGATTGGCAACTAGGTCTCATTGTTTTACTGCTGAATTAGCTAGGTGTACCCTAGGTTCTATTCTAATACTTTCTTTTCTTGCACTTCTTGTCTGCAGCACTCTCTTTCTGTTTCTTACTTCCCCTACCACAAAATTTTCTACAAAAAATTAAACACAACATCAATCGCCATCTTCTGTCTTCTTGAATGTTATTCTTGTATTGCCCTTTCTCCTCACTAAAGTTTTCTCATTTGTTTTCAAACCTAGTAAATTCTTGTCTTAGTGGCATTCTTGGGGTTAAATGATTACAAAAAGAAAAATTGATTCAAAGAATTTTACTAATTCAACCAGTTGAAGTAAAAGTTAAAAAAAAAAATAGTTTAAAAGAAAGAGCATAATATTCCATCAATACTGTATCACTTATTTCTTTGATGGCCATTGTTACATTTTGGTCCTTGTAAAATTTTCTTATTGGAAGAAATTTCAGTTGCCTGGAAAGACTACAAAATGCATCTAGAACATTTCTTTGCTTAAGATAAAATTTTCTAGGACTAGAGTAAGAAGATACCTGAAAATTTTCAGATGGTATCGAACAAATTTGGTAAATGTGTTGTATCCAGTCTTTTTTACTAAACTGAATGAAGTTGGACAACCAGATAGGTAATGGAATTAGTTAAGTACTGTAAATTTGAAATTATTTCTCTTTTATCTTTATTTTACAGCATAGAGGTTATCTTATTGTGGCAAGATTCTTTGCAGATTGTTAATACATGAATATTTCTACCTTATTTGTGTAAAAAACAAAAAAAGAAAAACACAGTAAACAGCTTTAAATGTATTTTCAAGATAAAATTGACTGTATATTTTGTTATCCATAATATTCTGATATACTTGTTAGTATGTTGAGAGACCATTATCTAATGATATCTTATCTTACTTATTATAAAACGCAGGTTGTGTGTGTGTGTCTGTAACGTTTATATGTTGGATCGAATTTCCTACATTTTTTTTTAGCCGATTTCAACAAAACTTCACAGGACTACATAAAATTACCTTGTGGTGGTTCTAACGGGACCGAAAATGGGGAAAAATACAGTTGTTTTTTAATAAAATCAATTTGAAAACACGATTGAGACACATCGTGAGAATGAAAGGGGGAGAACTCACCCACGAAAATGTAAACAAAAGAGCATAGCATGATAAAAAAGACGCCGAACTTGATGAAAACAAAATTTTATCGTCTAATGTTCATATTATTATTAAAGAGGAAAGATCAAAGTATTTTTGGGGTATTTCTTTACATTTTTTAATCGTTCCTAGCACGTCTGAAATTTTCGTTAAAAATATTGTTTTTTGTTTTTTTTTTTTTTTTTTGGTCAAAAAAAAGGACAGAATCATTTTAAATTTTCAATCATTTTTTTCGATTTGATAAAAAAGATTAAAATCTTACTTTTGATATTCTTTTAAAAGTCAATTATCATTTTTTCAAAACTGTTTTTATTAAAATCAGATATTATATATTATAAAGAAGTTAAAAAATAAGACTGTTAATAGTGAGATTAAATTTCATAAGAAAAAGGTATCTAATTTAGGTATCTTTCTTATGAAATTTTATCAGAAGTGTACATAAAATACTATAATTTTATGTACATTTATTACATTTTACTGTGTTATTTGTGTTTCCATTCATTTTATTATTAATTTTGATATTTCATTTATGGAAAAATGTCATAACTGAGATTAATATAAAAATAAGATCATATAAATTAAAGTTTAGCAGTAGGTACCCTTCTCAGTTGAAATTGAAAACTCAAATTAACTTCTCCATACGTGTTTCGCAAAAGTAAAGGGCTTAACAGCGGAGAACAATGCTGAACTCAAATAATGCAACTAAATTGTATTCTGGTTGGTCTTCCGTACTTGATAATTACTGTCTGACTATAAACACAAAAATTACATTTCTTAATTACCATGGCTAATCTGATTGGTCCAAATTATACAATTTTCAAAGCGCTAGACAATCTCACACGGACATTTTGAAAGGTTGATGTTGCTTTTAACTAATGTTAAAATATTTTTTAAAATTCAATTTAAACATTTTTTAAAAATCTTTTTAAAATTAAAGAAATAAGAAATAATTTCAATTTTCATTGAAAAAATGTTTTGCTTTCAGAAAATATTGTCCATATTCATAAAAACAAATTAAAACAAATAAAAGCATTTGAAACTAAATAATATATTTGTTTTATTGAGTTTTGTATGTTACAATTCACAGCTGATTTTTTCAGGTACGTTGGCCAAAAAAAAAACCAAAAAAATGATTTGCATTCTTCAAAGGCTTGTGCTTTTTAACTATTGTAATCACTAAAACCGATGGTCTCAATTTCTAGAGTTTTTCATAAAAATTAGTTATGGGGGTGTTAATAAATATAAAAAAAAAATATTTCTGCCATGACTTTAATAAAAAAAAAAAAAAAAATACTTATAATATCGATCATCTGTGAATAGTTTCTGAAAGTTTCATTAACATCTGACAATTATTTTTATTTTTGCAAGATTTTCCAAATTAATGTGTGTAAATACAAAAATATGCGCTAAAAATTATCTATGTTATTTACTACCCTTGTTGCGACAAAGAGAAACAAGGTTTTTAAATCAAAATTTAGAATATTCTAAAAGATGGAAAAATTTTTTAAAAATAATTAAAAAAATTTAGTCTATCCTCTTCATAAAAAATAAGCATTTTGACAATAAAATTTTGTTTTCATAAACTTTGGCGTCTTTTTCATCAGACTATGCTCTATGTTTTAGCGATTCCGTGGAGTGACTTAGGTTAAAAGACCCAGGTTGTTTATGTGTGTGTGTGTTCCTTTATATATGGGATCGGATTTCTTATATTTTTCAGTCGATAAAACAAACATCCACTTTTTTTTTTCGACAGGTAGTATTTCTTATTGTCTTGCACACTTTTTCTTTATTTTCATTCAGAATGCTTTAAAAATTTCATTTACAAGACAATTGTTTATAATAAAATTCTATTCACCAATCGATAGACTCATAACGATTGTAAACAATGTTTTTGTTTGAATTTGGGTTTGACCAATTCGTTAAAAAAAAAAAAAATAATTAAGACATGCATGTCTGTCAACCTTAAACAATAATCTTTGTCAATTTAATTTTTCAGTCTTTATGATGGTTGATACTTGATCTATCTCTTACTGTTACATCCCCAGGCAACGCCGGGCTCTACTGCTAGTTTAGTATAAATTGAGAAGTAATTATCTTCTAAGGAAAGTTTTAAGCTATTGAAGATTTCCCTGTTTATTTCAGGTTTAGCAAGTTTTTACATTCATATTCTGAATTTTGAAGATCAAATTTGGTATTCCAGGTTTGAAAATATTAAGTCTATATTTAATCAAGAAACCTTCCATAGCCTGCACACATGGGTGTGGTAATTGATGGATGTGGTACTGAAAAGCTTTTGGCCAACCCACTTCCCAAAATCATTATTTCAGTTACATAGCAAACTTTTTAAGTACTTTCTTTTTACAATGACATTTTTCTCTTTTAGGGTACTTTAGCACTCACATTGCAAGAGGTTCATCCGACAGTGTTCCTTGGAGTACCCAGAGTTTGGGAAAAGATTGTGGATGGTATAAAAAATGCAGGACGTCAATCTGGCAGCTTAAAAAAAAAGATTGCAGTTTGGGCAAAAGGTGTGGGCTTGAAAGGAAACTACAATCGTATGAATGGGTAAGCTGCCTTCTCAAACAATTTTTCACATTTGTTTATATGATATATACTTAAATTTCATAATGCAAGCACACAGTTAATTCTGAATTATGATGCCAGATTATAAAAAGGCTACAAATATTCTTTGTAATATGGCAATATTGCAGTCAGTTGTTAGTCACAGCTATTTAAAACAGTTATTTTTGTCATATAGGAAAATCCAACATGGCGCTTGAATGGAATATTCTGTGAAAATTCTCATTTGTCAGTAACATTTAAATCCCTCGTAGAATGAAAAGTTCTCAAAGCAAACCTGTGCCAAACTGTTTTCCTGAATCCTCGATGACTTGGCTGTCTGAAAATGACAACATCAATATGAAATGATGGAAACTGGCTGTGGAAAAACAAAAAAAATATGCAACAAGTTTTCGATCAATCAGTTACCTTCTAGCCGTTTTCAGGCCATGTTATTGGATCCAAAGGGCTATTGTTTGCACATGGTAATTAATCTTCGATTTGGCTGTGAAAAATGTCACTTTGGGGTTAGCATTAAGAAATTATAGCCAATTTTCTGAGAAAAATCACTTTTTTTTTTTTTTTTTTTTTTTTTTTTTTAATGAAAAAATAATTTTTTTTTCTCTTCAAAACAATTTTTTTCAAACTTTCTAGTCCTTTCTCTTTAAGTTGGTGTGAACATCATGACCCAACAATGGGAAATACAAAAGACATCCAGCAAAAAAAAAAAACAACAATGTTGTCTGCTAAGTGTTTTTGTCACCACCCGGGTCATAAAGTGTTTGCTCTTATCTTGTAAGTGATGGGGTTTATCACCAGCAGATGACAGCTTGTTTTAACTTTTATTGCTTTTATTTGAACCCTATTTCCCTTTGTGGTACTATTTTTAGAAAATAAAAAAGAAAAAACTCCTATTGACTTTTTTTTTTTTTTTTTTTTTTTTTTAAGCTCTGGCAGCCATATAATTTGACTCCCTAAGAATTTTGTTTTCCTACAAGCCCTCAATTTTGTGCCTGAAATAGTTTGATTATGATTTAGGTTTTCTGATTTTCAAAAAAATGGTTAATTTCTCATTATTGGGGAAAATTTTTGTTTAGAACTAGAAAAAATGTAAAATTTTAATTTTTTTTCACTTGAAAAAAAAAATTTTTGAGTCATTTACACCAGCCAATCTTACTTTTAAATGAAAGAACATATTGTTTACTTTCAGAAAATACTTAGTTTCGTGGGTTCAGATCAAGTTTTCTTGATATTTTGTTTAGATGATGACAAAACGGTCATTTTTAAATTTTTTACCTTGTTTTAACTCTATAAAAGTATGAAAATACTTTTCTCTCTCTCCTTTTTTTTTTTTTTTTTTTCAGAGAAAATACGCTGTGACAAAATAACTATTTTTGTAATGGTTTTTACTTGGGATAGAAAATTTTTAACATAGCAGACCTAATGTAATTTATGTGCTCTAACTTAAAGGCATAAGTTTTTTTTTTTTTTTTTTTTTTTTTTTTTTTTTCCCAAAAATTGCCATAATAACAGTATAGAATTTGGTTTCTGGGAATGGGGATTGGTTCAAATTTGAAAAATTTACAAAACGTTTTGAAATTTCTATAAAACATTTATTTTCAAATAATAGTACTTAAGTTTTTTTTTTTTTTTTTTTTTTTTTTTTTTCTTTAACTTTTGTATGAAATATTTAATATTTTTTCACCAGGATAATTGACATGAAAATAGTTTTCACAAATGTTAGTTAAATCCATCATATTGGATATGGATCTATGTTTTTGAACACTTTTCCTTTTCCCTAATTTCTCTGATAATCTGTTTTATATTCATTCTTATTGGCAAAAATCTGTTAAATTTCTCACAAAGTTGCCAATTAATTTTTGCTATTTCGGCACTTTGCATCCTTGACACATGAATTGCATGAATCTTTATTTGCTATATTTTAGTTAAGTTAGAAGTGGTAAATTTTAATTTTTCACCTTTTTTTACTAAGTTCAAAAAGCTTATTTTATATTAGTGAATTGGGCTAAAGAATGGCTGCTACTCATTTTTTTTTTTTTTTTTTTTTTATTTCCTTTTTCAGAAAAATTATTTTTGTTTGTTCTTTGTATTAATTTATATACAAGGAATCTTAATACTTTTGTATGCATGTGTACCGGGTTTTTCAACCTGAAATTGCCAATTTAAATAACTAGAATTAATAGAAAAATTGTTCAAACAAAATGTATATACATTTGCATTACACCTTGATAGCAATTTATCAGCTCTCTCTCAGGAATTCTTAAAAAATAGAATATAGGTATCTCCACTTTTCACGGAAAACAGCATAGCATAATGAAAAAAGGCCACAAAGTTAAAAATAAAAGTTCTTATTAAAATGTTTATTATTAAGATATGACCAAAATTTTTTTTTTTTCATTATTTTTCAAATTTTTTTAATAAAATTTTCAGGACTTATTCACAAATGAATGAATTCTTTTATTTTTTAATTTTATTTTATATATATATATATATATATATATATATATATATATATATATATATATATATATATATATATATAATGTCACCCCCAATTACATAATTTCAGAAAATTTTCAAAATACCTTTGTTTCCTGAATTTTTTTTTAATTTGTTAAAAGTAGGGCTTCTTGGAGAATGTAAATCACTTAATTTTTTTCAAATTTGCACTATTCTAACTGAAAAACTGCTGAATTGAAAAATAATAAATGCAATAAAACTGATTATTTAATTAGAAAAGCTTTTAATTGCTTTTGTAAATAAGTTGTATTAAAGACTATTGTATGAAGAAATAAAATTTTTCTGATGAATAATGAATTTTTACAATTTTTCATTTTTTTTTTTTTTTAAATTTTAATTATAATAATTTTAAAATCATGTAAAATTCTGTATTGTGCTGTTTCCTTGATGTGATATAGTAATTAGGTGGAAACGAAATTTATGAATCCAAAATTGAAAAGATTAATAAACATAGTTACACTATTCTGTTTTTAAAATTTTTTATTTTTTACTTAATTTGTTCCTTCTTTTCACCTATGGTGGACTCAAACTGACCTTTTTATGAAAAGGTCAGGTGATCTAAGAGTTTTGTTCCTTTACAAAGAAAGTCACTCATTTGTATTAATATTTACTTTTTAACAGGTTTTCAGGTTTTTCCCTTCCGCTTTAAAAGTTTAAAATTTAAAGTAAATTTTTTTTCAATTACTATTTCATTAAATATTTAAAAAAATTTTTTTTTTTTTTTTCGTAATTTTTTTTACTTTTTTAGGTTATTCTTTTTAATGACAGTTATTTTGATAAAGATGTTTAATTTTAAAACTAATGTTTAATAAATTTAAATTATTTTTACACTTTATTTCATTCATATTTGAAATTAGTTTTTGGAAATTTATGTCAATTCAGGTCATCCATAATCCATCATTTTGTCACTCAATCGTACATCAATCATTCTGATCAGAATTTGAGTAAAATTAGAAAATTTAAAGTTAAATTAATCTGATTTGAAACAAATATTACTTATAGCATAAAAAAGTAATATACAACCATTCCTTAAAGATTGGTCATGTCTATCTGATCAGAATGATCAAATTTATTGATTTTAAAATTCTTCCAAATAATATATATATTTCTGACAAAATCAATAAATTGTTTTTGTTTACAAATTTCTTAAATTTAAGATAAATGACCACTTTTAAGAAAATTTTTAAGAAATGACATTACAATCTATATAATTTCTATCTGAAATACACCAGAATATTTTACTTACTGAAAATAATAAATTTAATCATTTAGCTTTCAAACAAAGCTAAAATGAATCTTCAAGAATGTTTTTTTTTTTTTTTTTTTTTTTTTCATTTCAAGAAATTCATTTCAAGAAATTCATTTTAAACTTTATGTATTTATGCTGAAATAGTGGAGGTACCTAATAGAATAGTATAAAATTGAAAGCCTTTGATTCTGATTTTTTTTTTTTTTTTTTTTTTTTAAATTATTGCTAGTAAAGCGTTGGTCTTAGATACGTGAAGAAAAATAACTGATATAGTGATCTCTTGGCTAGGTGAGTATGCAGAAGATAATCTCCATCATCTTTGACTAATTTAATGTTAGTAACTGTTTTCTTTATTCAATATAACAGTGGTCATTATTTTGCAGCAAAATGACGTCTTTTTGTGTTTCCCAAACTGGATGCTGTGAGTTTTGAATGCACTGTTTGTTTTTTTTTTTTTTTGTTTCTGGTTTTTTTTTTTTTTTTTGTTTTTTTTTTTTTTTTTTAGTAGTTTAAATATACAATTGGTCAAATAAATATTTATAATGTACAAAAAATTCATCAAACAAATGTTTATTGCAGCAATACAAAATTTGATATATAAAATATGTATCATGGTGATGACCATTTTTAATTTTTGGTATTTGAAACTTGGCATATATAGACTGTTTCAAATGCTAAGAATTAGTCAACATTCACTTATTTGAAAAGAATAATGAGGAACAAAAGAAAGTATCCATATGATCTAAGATATTACTTATTAATATTTGGTTGGGTAACGCTTGTCCAAGTTGCCCCCAAACTTGTAGGGTGACACCACATTCAAACTTTTATGGCATATTCCCTCTTATTCAACAAAGTTGATACTTCAAATTGATTCTTCAGCAATTTCCATAAATTGTATATTTCAGATCCAGTAATTGGCTGGGTTATTCAAGAACATTAATATACTGCTGCTTCAATCAAGTTTTAATGTCTTTGGGATAATTGTCTTTTTGAAACATCTAGCCTTGATTCATGTTGACTTTTCTAGTAGTGTATGTTCTTCCAAATACAGGGTTCATAGTTCCTTTGATGTAGATAAAATTAAAAAAAAAAACAAACTTTTCACTGCATAATTCTGCCACTTCCAAACTTTGTCGTCCAGTTCTCCCACACAATACCATTATAGTTATTACCAAATGTATTGACTTTTATTTCATCTAAAAATGTTTTTGAAATAGGCATCTTTATTGGTATGCTTGTTGGCAAATTTAATATGTACTTTTTACTTCATTAATCATTCTATCTCTCTCTCAGTAATTCTTGGTTGCTGTTTCAACTGGGTACATTTTGAGGTTTTTCATACTGAACAATGAATGGCTTCCTGTAGCCTTTTCATTTATCTTTCATGATATAATTCCTGACTTCCATAATGTGTTTTTCTGTCTTTGGAATGAGACAGATGTTGGCTCTGCATTAGAATACATCAAATCACCTTGTAACAGACTACAGAAAAAAACACTCTCTCAGACATATAAACATAAATTCAATTATTATAAAAATATTTATTAAATCATAAAAATATGGATACTTTTTTCATTTTATTTCTCAATTTATCATACAGTAGTTCACCACTATAGCACGGGCCTCGGGGTCCAAGATGGCCAACCCAAACTGTAAGTGAATCGCTGTAGGGGTGGGTAATAAGATGTTGAACACCTACCTTATTTGGGGGCCCTATTTCGCTATATATATATATATTATATATATATATATATATATATGATTGTAAATCAATTAATTTATAATATTAATGCTCTGTAAATTTACATTGAGCACTGGCAAAAATAAAAATATCTATAAGAACACCGGATTATATATCTTATTGTTCTTTCTTTTTATTTACATATATATATATATATATATATATATATATATATATACACACGCACACACCCCCTAGATAATGACTTGAAAAGAACCTCAAAAAAATTATTTATGCCAATGATTCCATAAGAAATTTTGGATAATTTGTTTTTAAGCCCTGCGCTAAGTATCAAATAAAAAATTCATGAAGTTAGTTTTTTTTTATTCTAAATTTACATGCCTCTTTTGAAAATAAAAGATTTTTTTAAAAATCTACTGTTCTGGTGTTATCAACAATAAAAGTTTGGACTCCTTCATGTCATTGTCGGCTATGGCACGGCAGCTATTGGTGGTGTTTGCATCAGTGCATGTGCAACAATTGAGACAAGCGAATATCTATTCCGCAGCAACGCCAGTCATGGCTGCCGTGATGTGAATGAATTTGAACTTTTTATTGTTGATAACTCCAAAAAAGATTTTATCAATTTCTTTATTTTTGAATTAAGCATGTAAATTTACATGTAAATATAACTATTCTGGAAATTTTTATTAGATACTTAGTGCAAGGCTTGAAAAGGAAATTACCCAAAATTTCAACTTATTTCATTGTTTTACAGCAGATTTTTTATACAATAAATTTTAACCATCCTCAAAAGTACTTCCTCTTGGAATGCATTATGGTCTCATTTGAAAAGTAGTCTGGCGTTGTAAAAGGAAAAGACAAACATGGAAAGCATGAAGTATAAGAAATTAAATTTATTTCCACAAATATCATGTTTGCTATACATATGATAAAATCAGGCAATAAGCACAATAGATATATAAATAAATAAAAAATATACATTCATATTAATAAAATCATTAATGTCCATCAACTCCATGTTTAATAAGTCAGTGAGCTTCTTCTGTACCCTGCCCTTTCTAGCTCTCAGCTGGGTCTTCCTGAGAAGGTTTCTCAGGTGTAGGGTGGTGAGTTCCTCATCCTGCTGCTCTTCCACATACTCATTGAGCCAGTGGAGATGGTCTACGTTATCAGTGTGGGTCTTGGCTGGTGCTGCTTCTTCCTTCTTCAGCTGGGCTGGGAAGGAGTTTGCTGCTGCTGTGTTAGCTGACCTCTGCTCCCCATGGATCTTCACTGCTCCTATGCCATGCCTCTTCTGGAAACGCTGGAGCCACCCCTTGCTGGCAATGAAGTCTCCCTCACCTCCATGGAGCTGGTGGTGAAACTTCTCTGCCTGGTGCCTCACGATGGGACCTGACAGAGTCCTCTGGCTCAGCTCTTTCACAAACCAGGTGAGCATAGCCTTGTTCAGCTGTTCATCATTGGCTGTCCAGGCCTTCTTTCTACACAGCCCTTCTGACCCATTGACAGACTCTGTGAACTCTTGCAGCTTGGGCTCCTCCTTCAACCAACCCCTGAGGGTGGATTCAGGTACCCCTGTATCCCTGCTGATCTTTGCCTTTGTTTTACCATTCTATATCCTATCTATATAATACAGTTTTTCCTTTACTGTGTATGCTTTACATTTAGACATTTTGTATTACTACTAGGAGTCACAATTTCCCAGGAAATTTATTCCCAGGAATTCCTGATTGCGACCCCTAATTACTATGTGCTATTTATATTTATTTATGAGAGATTCTTGATGTCTATTGTTGGACAGTCAAATTGAACAACCAGAGAAAAGTACTCCTATTTATACCCCAATCGGTGATATCTGATTGCAGTGATTGAATTCCTGTTAACTAGTCTAATATTATAGGAACGCTTTGATCACACACACACACACAATAGAAATATGAAGTAATCGTGTGTAATTATTACCAATACAATTAGATTAGATGTGAAATGGCTGAGGTGCTAAAATTTAGCAAAATTTGGGCTGTTTGATCATCAAAATCAAAGTAAAATATGTGAAAAAGGGGCCTAATTATTAAAACAAATTAGGACCCATCTGGTGGTTACTGTTTGTTCTGTCCATGGTGAATAAGATGGCCCAGAAATTGGTAAAATAGGGTGGAATTTCTAAAAAAGTGAGTGATATTGAGGGTACGAGAGCAAAATCTTGGTGTCCACCACCTACCTGCGGTTCACTGGGTACTATAGTAAACTGGTTCACCTAATAGTGGTGGACTACTGTATAAACAATTAAGTGATAATTTTCTATGTAGCATTTGAAACTTGGTATGTCATACTGTTGTATGCCATTTCATGAAATAAATGCATTTTCATGCATTTCTTTAGAGTAACTATTTTGTATGTTAAGGATATTTGCTTGACCTACTATACTGGTTGGTCACTTCAAAAGGAAGTCATGATCTATAAAAACTGCAATTTCACCAAATGCTTACTATTGCCTTTCACAGATGGTTTCAGCTTATTATGTTTTGATTTCAAATACACAGTCATTGTGCACAACTACTAATATACAAACCAAATCTCTCTCATTACATATAATTGATACACTCCAAAAATGTTGGCTTTATACTGTTGAACATGGTGAATGCAAGTCTCTACATTTTCAAATAGAAGCTTTTTATCAATCATATTTTTTTCTCTTGCCACTTGTCTTTAGCCATCATCAAATATTTCCAATTGCTCTAGTGAAATTTATTTTGGGGTCATTTTCAACCACTAGCTTCATTAAACATTCCTACCAATCTCACTCCTGGCTTTATGAACTGAAATTTGAACCAGATTTTTTTTTTTTTTTTTTTTTTTTTTTTTTAAATCTAGATGTTAAGGGATAGCATTGACCAAATTAAATTTTTTGTTGCATCTTCCACTCGGTTACCACTTAGCTCAGTTATAAGTTGAATATTGTTTTCATTTTTGTCTAAATAAAAACTTAAAAGCATAAACTATTTTTATTTACTTATGTAGAAAAAATATAAAAAAAAAAACCCACTAAAAATGTCAAGCTTAAAACAAAATTGGCAAATTCATATTGAACAACCTAAGAACAAACATGTCCTTAAGAGAATACAGAAAATTTAATGAAAAACTGAATGCACATTTGAATATTTTTTTTTTTCTCATTTCATGAAACTTATTTTTTTGAAAACGAATTTTGACCTGTTTATTCAGTTGCTCCTTTTACACACATAAATGTATCGCTGTTTTTATTTTCTCTTTAATTTTTTTTGTAATAAAATAAAGACATTGGTTGATTTGTTTTTAAAAAAAAAAAATCCATCTTTTTCAATAGCCTTCAGAGCCATGGGAAATTCCAGCGGTAATCACATTGTGCTATTATTGTCTTGATTAGCTTGTCTTGTCAGATTTTGTAACAACACTATCATGTCTGCATGAACAGAAACTTTTTTTTGTTTTTTCTTTAAAGCTTGCTTTTATTTACTCTCAGCCACTTTCCTTTTGTGCAAAATGGATAGACAATTTAGGCTTTTCTGTTTTTAAAAAACATTCTTCACAACATTTCAATATTCCTAATTTTATTAGTTTTTTTTTTTTTTTTTTTGCTGTGGATGGCATCCCTATGTATGAATTTTTAGTACCCAACCCTCTTTTATTAATTTCAGCCGTTCACATTTTAATTTGAGTTGTGGTTCCAGGTATGATTTTTTGCACATTCTTTACATCTTCCAAGGATGTAATGTAAAAGATAGTTACATATTAGTTCTCAATATTAGTTTTCCTTCCATTTTTAGGGTAACTGTTTTCCTTTTTTTTCTTTGTGTTACCCTTTCTTTCTTCAAAAATAGATTTAGTTCATTTATTAGCTTGATATAAATAGCACTATCATGAATATTTCTAAATGTAATCTACATCTGTATCCTGTTGTAAATGATTTGCATGGCTAAAATCTGAGCATGTTGTGTTGTCAGTAATTTTGACTAACTCCTTATGAACCAAATGTTTTGTCAAATACTTATTTTTTTTTTTTGTGAAATGATTTTGTGCTTTTGATTATGCACTTCACTTTTTTACTACAAGGAGAAATTTAACACTTAAATGTTTTAGTCAAACAAGTTTCTATTGCAACTATTCTTGGTTTTTATTAGACTCTGCATTCCCATAGATAATTTATCTTTTCATAGAATGAGCCAAATTTTCCAAAATGTGAAGAGTTTTATAATTAACCTTTTATTTTTAAGATTTTAATAATTATAAAAGAAACTTTTCCAAAGAAAAATAACTTCTTGGTAATTATGAGTTAATAAAATTATTTAAACTTAATTGCATAATTTTTAACTATTAATTGAAATGTTATGAGGATCCTAAAGAAAGAAATAATGTCCCCCTTCAAAAAAGCCTTGTTTAAAAATGAAGGAATAATCTGCCAGTAATGTCTAGAAGATCAACTTCTAAATAATTAATCTGTTTTCACTTTTTCTTTTTTCTTTCTTTCTAATTTTAATTTTAATTTTTCTTGCTAATAATGCATCAATATATACGCCTCCCACCCCTTGTGGCTATCAACATCCTGCTTGTTAAAATCCTCCTCCTCCAAACTGTTTCATTTGTCCTACATGTTGTCACTAGAATGTGTCTTTCTTTTTTTTTTTCTCTCTCTCCACGCGACTTGCTTTATTGGTTGTCCAAGTCTAGTAAATGCTCCTGTCCTAGGGTTGGTTGGGTTGGTTTCATCCTTTAATTTGGGATTCTTTTTCTGCTTTACTGTAGAAAACTTGTTAAAGCTTTTGTGTTATATAAGGCTTAAATACTGCATTTTATACAGCATTTTTTTATATTAACATAAAATTCAGTTACATGTTTAATACAAGTATTTCATGACACTTTCATATAGTGCACAGTTTTAATTAAATGTGGTGTAAACAAGTAGCAAATAATATATAAGGGATATTCAGAATGCATAATGAATCTTTTTTATTAATGAAAAAAAAACAAAACCCATGCATTTTTGCCTTGGTTGGATGATTTCTTAGACTAAATGAGATACTACTGACTAAAACTATGAATTCTGTTGTGCTTTATTTCTTTTGGATTGCTTCAAGTATCATGCTGCGGCTTATATTCTAATAATTTTGAAAATAAATATTATCCCATTTGGTTACTGTATTCTAATTACTTAATGGATTGAAAATGTTTAAAGGCATTGAGAAACAACTTTTGAATAAATTTCCAAAAATGTAAGCAGTAAAAGAATGTCTTTCATATTTAATTTCCCCCCCTCCCTTTGTGTTAAATATAAAATTAATTTCAAATCCTATGCTTTCACTCTTGGTATTCATGTGACATGAATATAAAAAATGAATGATTTTAGTTGTAGGAAAAATTGTATTTGTTTGTCTTGCAACAAATAATTGAATTTTTTTTTTTTCTCTTTTTTTCTAAATAGTTTAACATTTTAGTAAATTTACACATGTATACAATTAAACTAAGAAAATTAATTTTCTAATTTTTTGAAAAATTAATAAGGGAATATATTGCTTGAGTATTAGTGAAAGAATATGCATGTAATGTATTGATTATTTTTTTTTTTTTAATGTACTATATGAACACAATAGTATTTGGATGTTTTAGAATATAAGAATGGAATGTGTTTTTTTATGTTTATTAATTGGTAAATACACAATCTTCTGGTATAATTAATTTTGCTTTACATATAACTAAGAGAATTTGAACCTCCATAGAAAGGATATATGTACATAAAATGTTTAAAAATCTTCCTAAGATATAATTGAGATTCTTCAATTTAAAAGGGAGGTCTTTGGTCTATAAAAAGAGGTTATCTGCTCTTAAGCAGAAAGAGCAATACAAAAGTCTTGTTTATGATATCAATGCAGTATTAAATCAATCAATACAATCATGGACTTGCTATTTTACTTACAGACTTTTGGGGTGGAGAGGTTTAAAAACAGCTAATCTACAAAAATTATCCCCCTCCCCAATTTTTCCCAAGTTAACCAGTCTTAAGTAGTGAAAAAAAAACAAACTTTATAATAAAAATTAGATAAATGATATAAATAAGTAGTAAACTTTTTGCTTATGGTTTATTTAGAATCAGTACTAATATTATAACTTATAGTAGTTATAGCTATTTTAAACAATTAGGTTTGGGCTTTCAAGTGACTGTTGAAGTTGAAAAAGCCTTATTCCACTATGATTTTTGTCTAGTGGCATGGAATGAAAAAATGGAGAACAAAATTCAAATTCCAGTTGGTTTTGTTACATTCATTTATGTACAAATACTATTGAGAAAGATATGAATCTATCTCCTCCATCCCAACTATGGGTTAAATAGGATGTGTATCTAGAAATCTGGGAAATCATTGCTATTCTAGAAAAAAAAAAATTCTTACAATTCGAAATGTTTCAGCTTTAAATAAGCCATAAAAACCCAAATCAGTCAGCCACTAGAATTCATCTTGTAATTCTTAACAATTTACATCCAAATATAATATCTTCATAACCCACTTAGATAAAAAGATTATATCTTTGTAAAATTCATATTAAAAAGGTATTTTTAATGTTTATGAACCATACTTTTAGATTTTCTTTTTAGCTTTTGAAATATTTTTCAGACGAGCAGGTAAACCTCTTCTATGGCCAGTTGCCAAAGCTCTCGTATTCAAGAAAGTGAGAGGACAATTGGGTCTTGATCGATGTAGACTTGCATTAAGTGCTGCTGCTCCTATTATGAAAGAAACCTTAGAGTTTATGATGAGTCTTGATATTCCTGTCTATGAGACATATGGCATGAGTGAATCAACTGGACCCCATACTGTCTCCACATCAAAAAGGTTCAGGATTACCAGTGTTGGTGTAGATATTCCAGGAAGTCAAACTCGTCTCCACTCTCCAGATCAAGATGGCAATGGAGAGGTAAGGCTTTCTGTTCACATGTTTCTATATTCTGTTGTCTATTAAAAACTAACTGAAAATATTTCTACAACTTTTATTTTAGAAAAATGATAAATTGTTGTTAAAAAGTATGAAATTCATTGTTACTTCATTGTTACTTTATTTTCTGAATTTGCAAAAACATACAAAAAAAAATAGTTTACCACATTGTGGCAATGGATGTTTCTATACTTTTCAAAATGATAAATTTAAATTTGGAATGTTAAATTTCAAAATTCTTTCTGACATACTAAGTGTCCAGTCTTATACCATGTAGTAGTGATTAGGTTATTTGATCTATTTCATGTATATAATTCTTTAATATGATAAACTAATTTTTAAATTTATGCTTAAAATTTGAAGAGCACTCCTTACCATATAAAAACTGCTGAAAAATTGATACTTCAATTTTATTCAACATTTTATCTTCCATATTCAATATCTAAAACTTGCTATTAAATTTGCATGACTAATTCACAAGTATTTTAAGTTATTTAAAAACATTTTTAAAGTTAGTTTTTCACATAACATTAAATAGTTGCTTTTCTTAAAATTGGTGAGCACTTTAATATACATACATAAAATGTTTGACAAGTTTTGAAATATAGAAATCTGAACCAGACTCAGAAATTTGAACATCAGCCATCTCAATCAAAAACAGTTCTTAGTAATTTGGTGAAAATTGTCTTTATAAATACTGCGGGGTTATTTCAAGAATTCACAATTTTTGATGACTTAAGAAACAGAAGCATTACAGCTTAATTCTGTCTTCAAAACATTGATATCAAATTGTATAATACACAGAAAATGCAACCTTTACACATTTTGATTTTTTTTTTTCTTCTTCATGTAAAGATGCAAAAATTAAAAACTTTAACTATTTCAGGTGTGCATGTATGGTCGGCATATATTTATGGGTTACTTGAATGCCCCTGAGAAAACTAAAGATGCTCTTGATGAAGAAGGTTGGTTGCATTCAGGAGATATTGGCAAAAAAGAGAATGAATTCCTTTATATCACAGGACGAATTAAAGGTGTGTTGTCTTTTTTTTTGTTATGTCTGTTTTGGTATGTGTCTTCTAATATTGGTATAAAAACGAACAATTCTAAAGTTATAACTTCTGTTTGAAAAATAATCCCATAAATCTTGCACTTTAATGACAGCAATGCTATCATTACTCAAATTCTATTTTGAACATATTTTTATCAGTTAGAAAAATCTAATTGTTTCTAACTTATGTACCAGAAATTGAAATTAATATTGATATTTATAAGAATATCTTAAGAATTTAAGTTTTAGCTGTGTATTTCTATATTAAAATAGTTTAATATCAGACCTTTTCAAACATGTTTTGCATATATTGATTCATAAGATTGTAATCATTTTTAAATACCATCAGGCAATCATGATTTTTCACAATTTCCTTTCCTTTAATATTTGTGAATTACCAGGACTGCTTTGGGGAAAGGCAGTGGTTTCCTGTTATGAATTTAAAGTTGTCTTCCTTAAATTAGTTACCTTACCAAGGCTAGAGAGCCAAATTTACCCTGTTATTTCACCCATATCTGAGGAAAGAGAAATAGATTCATAATGTTTCCAGTGGCATTAGTACAATGTGAACACAATGAAATTGAAATCTTCTTGCTGATTTAATTTTCCATGTCATCTGCACATACTTCCGCATAATGTGCCATGAGATTTTACTAAAGACACTTTATAATTAATTTATATACTTTGTTTATATTTTCAGAGTTGATAATCACAGCTGGTGGTGAAAATATTGCCCCTTGTCCAATTGAAGAATCTGTAAAAGAAGAATTGCCTATCATCAGCCATTGTATGTTGGTTGGAGACAAACGAAAGTTTCTTTCAATACTCCTCACACTTAAGGTATGTTTATCCTCGATTTTTCTGTAAAGATAAGTTTAGCCATTAAATTCATTAGAAGATTTTAATGATATTAGTTTCTGCTTCTTTTCTTTCTTTTTTTTTTTCCAAAATATGTTAGTGTTATAAATTATCAAGGATATACTGGCAGTGTCTTTTTTTTTTTTTTTTTTTTTTTTATTTTTACTCTGATTTTGAACATAATTTATGATCTAAATATATTAAAAATTACTTTGATGCATTTTTGTTCTCAACTCTGCAAAGTATTGGATCCACTGGATAAATTCTCATTTTTAGAATTTTAGTTTTACAAATTCTAGACAGTTTATAAATTTCTTCTAGATTAAATTTTCCGATGATTCTTGTTTTAAATTTTTCCGATGATTCTTGCTTTAATCATTTTATTGAATTTTCTCTTTTTCTCTGAAAGACTGAAATTGATTTGGATACTCAAGTACCAAAGGATGAATTGACAAAAGCAACTAAAGAATGGTGTCGCCGTGTCAACAGTCAAGCAAACACTGTACAAGACCTTTTGAATGGAAAAGATGAAAATGTGGTGAAGGCCATTGAGAATGGAATTGAAAAGGCGAACAAGAAAGCTGTTTCGAGAGCGGCAAAAGTGCAGAAATGGGCCATTTTGCCAGCAGATTTTTCTATACCTGGAGGTGAATTAGGTAAGCCTCCTATAAGATTTTACCAATACCTGATGAAAAAAGTGAGGTAGAAGTTAGGCAAAACTTGACCATTTGTCCTAGTTTAAACCTGAATTACAATGTTAACACTATTAGCTCTTAAGACACATTACTAAATTTGATGTATTATAAATATTTAAAACATCTTTCAATTACTAGACTGATCACTTAGTGGTATGGTTTTAACTTTATTATTCCAATTTATGGTAACTGATGTTACCTATCCAGCACTAACATAATTAGCTTCCAGTTCTTTGTAACTTCTGAGCCATATTTGCAACTCCACTTGTTTTGTAATTTGTTACTGATCTTATTTCATTTTACCTTTACACAGACTACAGAGTATTATAGCTTGTAATTGACTAAAGTCTGAATTATCTTTCTTATGGGGTTAGCAATATAAGTGCTTATTACAAATACAATAAACTTGAAAGTCAGTATGGAAAACCTTGATTCAGTTTTGAAAAGATTCTTAATTTGAACAAAGAATGATATGAACTGCTTCTTGGTAGTTAATACCATTTGTAGTTCACTTTGTTTTCTCCATGTAATTATAGGCATCATCAGATGGTTAATGTTTTTCAGGTTCACTTGTAATTGCTAAAGCTTTTTAATTTTATGAAAAAATTGCTTTCTGCTTTCAGTTGTCTCAAATAGACATTCTAAAACATTCAGGCTTAATTCAATATTTGTCAAGCTTGACAAAATTATTACTAATTTTTCATTTAAGAAAATATCTTAAATGTCTGCAAAAATTCCTCAAATGTAATGGTTACATCTGAAGCTATAATTCTTCCAAGCATTGCCCTTAGTATAAGTGTTGACATGTATGTTGTTTTTATTTTAAATTCTTTTTATTTTTTCTTGATATTTTAATATTTAATTTGCTCAAATTTTATCTTCTCTGCAAGTTGACAGACTTGTTTATATCAAAATTCTTGTTTACTTAATTGTTTTGTGGAAATAACTTGTGTTAAATAACTCGCATCCATTACAAAAATATTCTTTAAGGCACACACATCAATTTTTGAAATTTAAAAAAAAAAGTTTCTTTTTAATACTTTTTCTCACATGTGCTTTCTAATCTATTCTTTTCAGGCCCAACTCTGAAAATGAGACGACCTATCATTCATAAGATGTATGCCTCCACAATTGAAGCCTTCTATTCATGAGGCTGCTATGCTCTTTCCCACTAAGTCTGTCTGTGTGTGTGATGAGGGCCTGCCTACCTATTTACTGTGATAATGTCTTGATTATTTTTCTAGTTTAACATCTGAAGTAGCAGCAAAGTTGCTTGCCTACTTGTTTTCAGCAAAACAAAGCTATATCCGGCCACACTTTACCTTATGTTGTTTGCATTTTCCAATGCTAAAAATGAGCACGCTTTCCCTCCTGCTGCTGATTGTGATGCACTCTTTTTAGTTGCTAAAGAATTGATTTGTTCTTAAGTCACTTAAATTTCACACAAGTGGCACCCCCACTCCTTTTTATAGCTAATAAAGGCAATTTCATTGAGTTTGAAATCAATTCTTAACTTTGCCTAACCAACCATTATGTCCCCAAAGTTTCCAACAGCACAATCTGTTGGGTTCATGGCAGCTGATTTCTTGAAAGAATAAATGGCTGAAGGTTCTTCTCCCTCCTTTCCTATATTATAAGGTAATGTTTTCTGTTAACTAGAAAATTCTCAACTTGTCAGTGAAAAGAGACTTAGTTGTGTATCAATCATTTTTATGCTCATATGTACCAGGTTACAGAAAAGTAAATATTGAAAAATTACCAATTTTTCAGAGGGTGAGGACTTGTTTTATTTATTTGTTATGATGATGTTATATGAACCAAAATTTACAAAAATTTTGAAACTAAATTTTGAAGCTTCAGTTGTCTTTATCTCAATTCTCTTTAAACAATTATCATTTTTTTTTTTTTAATTTTTAGGTGAGTATATTATAAAAATGTAATAACTATATCTTAAAACTTTAAGCATAACTCCTGTTTGATTAATAAATGGCTGATAATATTGATTCAGTTTGGAAAATTCTATTGAACTTCTGCATAACAAATATCAGTTTGTATTTAAGTCACAATTTAAATGAGAATACAAGTTTGTGAAAATATTAGGTGATGACTGAAGCTTTTACTTCTGAAAATGTTTCATTTGACATGCATGCATTACTAAAAGTAAATACCCACCCTTGTTCTTTTGAACAAACAAAACTGAACAATGAAGTTAGTGCTTGTCCCTCTTTTATGAAATGTATGCTGTTATAAACTTGATTGAAAGGATTTTTTTTTTCTGGGGAGGGGACTTTGGTCAACAGTTTCCAAAAATGAAATTGAAGGTTGTGATGCAAATATTTAAACCTTCATTAACCAATGATTCTTTTTTTTGTGTTTAGATTCTTTGTTAAAAATGAATTTTGTGAGAATTTTCAATAAGGAATCAATAAAATTGAATACAAGTTGTTTTTTATGTCAGGAAAATGTTTCTTCATAATTCCTATGTTTATTAAAAAAGCGACACGAACAGCAAAGAACTTCGCTCAACACCTAGCCTACTTAGCTGTCATTTACTGACAAGATTTTATTAGATTCATTAAGAACTATTAACAACTTAAATTGAAGCTTTCTCCACTTTTCTTATCAGTTTATCTAAAACTAATTTTCTTTTGTCAATACAGCTTGTAAAGTAGTTGTATTGTATTTTTATTTATTTATTTTTTTAGTATAAGCACAAGCTACTGAGGTTTTTGGCACCTTATGGTATGATGCTTAACAAGCTAGTCTTGAGGATCATTATTAGAATAGTGAACTTGATCCTCACTGGGTGTCCCATATTTGAGCCAAAATAGTGTACAGAAAATGCAAGCTTGAAAATTGTTTTTATTTCAGTACAAGTCTGATATTGTATTTTAAATAATTGAATGCCAGAATAATCCTCACTTAAATATTGCCTATAAACAACAATATAGGGTGAACACTGCTGTAGACTACTAATTAAGACACTAATTTTGCAGATCACTGATAATTTGATCTTCACTGGTTGTCCCACTTGCCTCATTTAAGAAATGTCTCTATTCATTTGATCATCTCAAATTTCTATACCTTTTTTTAAAATACTTCAGTGTTTAAACTTGAAACTGTTTTAAATATCTTGACACACTTGGCATTCAGCTGAAGCTCGGTTCACTAACTAATGTTAATGCAAAAAGAATATTTGTACTTATTGTTCGTCCTGATAAGAATATAAAATATACATGAAGAATTTACATTTAAAATCTTTAAAATATTAATCTAAGATTTTTATTATTCAATTAGAATAACATTTTGTTATTGCTGACCATATCCAGGTTGTAAACAAAAGTTGCATGCGATAGAGAAGCATCAATTAAATTAATGTTAAGTGTATTTTATACATTGAGTTTGACTTTTTTATTTCTATATAAAATAAATGAACACCTTTTCTGCCTTTTTAATTTTTATATCCTTGCTTTGTACTCATTTGCTTCTAGAATGTTTTATAGCTTTGCAGGTACAATGAAAAGACTTCTTGTTTCCTAGAGACGGTTGAAAATGTCATTGTAAGCTATTGCACTCCTTAGTGTTTTATATTTCAATTCATAACATTGGATACCAAGAAGTTTCATCTGAAATCAAACAGATACTGTATATTTAGAGAATGTTGTTGTTAATGGACATTGGCTAGATTAGGTGATTGAAGAATTAATAGGAATGTGAGGGATGGGCCAATGGAGGGTGAATTTGGTGAGTAGGTATGAATAACTGTTTATTGCCATTAATGTTTCCTTTATGTAAAAAGCAATGAGTTTGTGAAGCAAGGAGGTGGTAGTGGTGGGGAACAACTTGAAACATAAGTGAAGTTTTTCTTTCACTTCACAAAATATTTCAGTTAGGATCAACTAAAGACATTATTTATGATTGTAAAATATAAATAAAATTAAGTGTTGTTGCAGGGTGAAGTTTCTGTTTGAGCATGATCATGGCACATATATAAACAAGATCTATGGCATGAAGACTTTCAAGACATCCAGGTGCGAGATAGCCTCTATATATATATATATATATATATATATATATATATAATGTGTGTGTGAGGTGACCCCTGCCAGAAGTCCTCAAAGTGCAGAAAATGTCATTTGTAGCTAAGTGAAGCAATTTCATATATTCATTACAAGAATACCCATAATTCCATCACTTGATTTTTGAATTCAAGTGATTTCATTTCTTGACTATCAATAAGGCACAAAGATAATCTCTCAAGATCTTTTGCCTCAACCCTGACTTCATTTTTCTTGTGGTCAGTGATATGTTGGATATACAATCTTTTCATATTGACATCCAACTGGAGCAAATCTAATGATGTGATGATGTGTACACGAAAGTTCTGCTACATTGGTTTTTTGCATCAGAATATTTTTCCTGTAAAAGCTATTTTTTCATGTATAAATAAATTCCCCCCCTCATTATGTTGTGTAATAAAAGATAACCTTTTTTGCATGATTTAGTTTTCCCTCCACACAATGTTCTGTATCCTTGCCAGTTTATAATACAAGCATGTTATTTATTTTATGTTTTTTATAGGTAAATTCTTGGGGTCTTATTAACATGAAGTATTACTGAAAATTGCTATTCTTGAAATGGGTTTATGAACTATGCAAATTCAATTCTTACAGTTTACTATCTCATTATTCTGTTCACATATATTCTACTCATACATACATACATTTTTTTATATATATATATATATATAAAGAAATATAGTCTTAAGGTGTGCTATATTTATGGGATAAAGTGCTCAATATCAGAGATAGTGTGTGTAAATATAAAAGTGAACATAGAAGTCATGCGATATGTAATCGTCAGGCCTGACGATTGGATATAGCATGAAACAGACTGTCGCCTCTAAGTGTTGGCTTCTATGTTCACTTATATAATTACACACACACGCTTAGGCAAGCAAGTTTAACAGGTGTGAATGTTAATCTTTTAGAAGTTAGAAATTATCACTTGAAAATAGATTTTAGCTTGTAAATTTTTAATAAAACCTTATGAAACTTGTGAGTCAAGCTTTCAGTACAAATTTTACTGTATTATCCATTAAGACTTGCAAATGATGTTTTCAATCAAAAATATGCCTAGCAAATTTCTTACATGACATATTTTTGAAAGCATATTTCTATTTCGACTAGATAAATAATGCTTTCTGTGCATATTTTCCCTCTTATCTCTATTATTAGCAGTTTTCATTTAAAAAAATCACCAACATTATGAATATTTCTTGTTTTATAGGCTCACTTTTATAAACAGTTACTTTTTAAATGAATAAACTGTCATTGAATATTGTTTGCCAGACTAATTTTCTCTTTTTATTTATCACAACTATATAAAACTATAACTGGCCAAACATTAGTTTTTTGGGGTTTTTTTTAATTTTTTTTTTTTTTTTTTTTTTTTAGGCTTCTTGGTCAGATGTTATGCCACTCCCGCTTACAATGAGTAAAAAAAAAATACTTCATCTAAGAAAATGTAAAAAAAACAAAAAAAACTAAAAGTATTTGGGTTGTTTAATCACCAATTCAATGTTAAACACTCAATATTTTATAGCTTGATAGTGGCACCAAATAATTCTTTTTCCTTTCTGCACATACACATATATGAACTCTTCTTGTTGACATATTTAATAACAGAAGAGAATATAGGCTACAACAATACATAATTACAATCTGACACCATAATTGCCCAAAAGAAATGTACAAATTCTAATGTTTGCCATTCCTTATTGTGAAAAATTCCATGGCTGTCTAACCAACAAAGTATGTGTGCTGCAAAACAAAAAATTCTGAACTTTATCACATTTCAATGCTGCTTAGATTTTCAGTTGACTAAGTGGAAACATTAAATTAGTATGATTACATAAAGTAATAAGCACAATGTTTATTAATGTTGGATCCAATTTCATTTTTATAAAAGTAGTTAAAATCTCCTTGAAATTGAGGTCATCTATTTTGTAACCACTTTAAAAAAAATCTATTGTTTGGTCATCTGAATGAATTGTTTAAATTCCCACCTTTTTAAACTCCTTTTAAAGTTTGGAAACAGGAAATAAATGGAGCAAGGTCTAGTGAGTAAATAGTCTATATACTTTTCTTTTAAATTCTTTAAAAGATTCATCTTGCCATTCCTCTAAGCAAGTGTATTATCTGGCAAAAAGAGAACCTATTTCCATAGCTTTCCTCATCATTTTTTTTCCTTAAATTGCAAATTAAAATAATATTCTGCATTAACTGTTTGGCCGTTCTGAAAATAGACATCAAAATACATTCCTTGTCCCTGCTAAGTTTTGAGTCTAATTTCTATTGACTTGGAGAACCCAAGTGCTGCCACTAGTTTCAAGATCATGGTGGTTTAACTAAGTTTTATCAGTGACAAGTCAGCTCAAAAAATTGGCACTAGATTATTGAAAATGATGCCAAATCATCTTGAAGATGTCCACATATCGTTTCTGGTTACCATTCAAACATTTTGGTTGACAGCTTCTGCATACCCTCATGCATTATAAACCCATCTCTAGTGTCTTGGCATTTCTTTTGGCTAATATTCAGTGATCAACTAAAAATCAGGTGTTAAAGTCCTCCTAAAACATTTTGAGTCTCATTTTCTCTGTTGGAAGGTGGTGCACTGACTTCTTAGAATGCCAATATTATTATTATTGAATAATTATAACTTCATATTGATGATTCTTAAACGATGTCCTCACAGTTGAGTAACATGAAGACTTCTAATATTTGCATTATATACACATGGATTTCTTTTAAATTTTTTCTTCATTTGAAATTATATATATATATATATATATATATATATTTTATTTTTTTTATCTAAGCAAGGTGATAAAGCCACTAAGAGGCAAGTGGTTACTGAGTGAAAATCTGAGATAAATTAAGGAAAAAAGAACAATAAAAAAAAAGAATTAAAACAGATGACAATTGACTTTGCATTTAAAATTTTTGAAAAACAAAGTTGACGGGCAAGCAAGAAGCTGGAAGAGTTTCACAAGTGAGAAATGCAAGAGAAGAAACTTAGCATAAAACTTATGGTTACATCTAGCCATTTCTACTGTAAAATGATGTAACCTAGCTGCCAATCTAGTACTGTGCTTAAATTTGTAAAGTCAAGGTACCAAAGAGATCAGAACAATTATCATGAAACTATAAAAAAAAAAATAGACACAGGGAAACCAAGATGCTAAATCAGGATTAATAATTTTGCAAATTTTTCTTTGGATTTTATCAAGCATCTCTAAATACATAGTCACATTTGGTCTGTTGTTTTTGCTAATATTAAATGAATAGAAGATTATAAATGTGTCGGATAGATTTTAGCAACATAGTTCAGTCATTAAGCACAAGAATTCTGTAAATGATCACTTTACAATACTAAAGAATGCTCTTCCCAGCTCTAGTAAAAAATATAATGCTCAAATTTTGTTAAGGCCAAGACCTCTTAGCTCTTATACACAGCAGGCATCTCAAAATATTTAATAAAATGATATGCATTTTTTTTTTTTATGAGAAATAAATTAAAATTGTCAAAACTGCTATGTAAAACAACTGTTTTGTTTTTATGTGTGCATTTGCTTTGAAATCTTTAAAAAAAAGTTTACATGTTTTTATTTTTCAATAAAAGAAATTCTGATTTCATATTGTTAGGTAAGGGAATGCTGGAAGCCTTAGGTGGCTTGTAACTATATTACTGATTGTAGTTTGCTTCTTTCCCCCCCCCCTTCTTGTGGGGAAGAGACTACATTTTCTGTTGATAATACCCAGAGGCTAATGGGCTTCAGGCAAGTTGGGGTTAGGTGTTGGTGAATTGCAATAAATTTATTGCTTATTTACAGAAGTTCGATTTATAGCTTCCGTTTCCCAGGTTTATCTGAAGTGGTTTTTAATTCCCTTTGACAATTAGTTCCTTTTCATACATGAAATCCAGCCTATCAAAATTAATCCTTGTTCAAGTAGAAATGAAACCACCACCACTACCACTAACAGATTTTCTGATAACTTTTGATATCAATGTGGTTTGACTTTTGCTGATTTTTGTAAAACTAAAAATCCACATTGTAATATTTATAGGAGTTATATTTTTTTAAACATAAGGAAATTTTTAATCACACCAAATCTCACAAGTCAAACATGGATATAAGCAAGGTGATGTGAATTTCACATTCATGAAAATTTCACCAAAAATATTGGAAGCAACTGTAAAAAGGCCAAGCACTGCATGAAAGCAAAGAGTTTTGCAATACAATTGATATTCATCAAATAGTCATTTTAGACAGATGTTGGTTATTTCATCTTAGACATTTCTTTTATCCAAGTGGGTAAAGACAGAAACAGTTTTAACAAATTCCTTTAATTTCAGAATGGATAGACATTCTACAATTGATAAAAATGATTAATAATTTTCTTAAAATTGTTGGAAATGGAAACTCCTTTGAAAAACAACTTTGAATTCAAGTCGAGTAAGTATTTTTCTGTTTCAAATTCTGTACAAACCAAATTATTAAATTAATTATTTTTTTTGTTTTGTTTTAGAGGTTAATTTTGCTAATTTAGGACAAAAATATTAAGAAGCATTTGTTTAGCTTTTGCTAAGTAATAGAAAATATTTACATCACTTGGCAATTGTAGTTTTTTATTTTTAAATCCAAATGTTTTAATGTACAGTATTTACATTAGTCGGACTATTGTCCTCATCTTTGTCGCCATATTTGTCACGATGTTTCGGCCGTTGTATGCTCCGGCCTTCTTCAGGTGGCTGGAATTTCGAACTAAACCCTTTATTTCGATCACTGGGGTAGACTGTTCTAGTTCCACGTGCCATGTTTAATGGATGTCAGTTATCAGTTATCTCCTGCTAATTTTCCCTCCGAAAGTTCTCCACTGCCTTAACCTTCTTTGGGTCTGTCACTGGATCTAACCAACGCCTTTATCTACTGTGCCATGTGTCCTTGAGGACATCTGGGTATGAACTTCTGAGTATTATAAACCTAATGTTTTCAGCATCATTTTTTACCAGTGCTCATATTGCAATTTTGCTGTTATCATTGCATGTCTTCACCAGAGTTCATATTGCAACTTTGTTATCATTGCTTTTCTCTGGCACTCCTTATTACTGGTTCCCGTATTGTATTTATTTCTATGCTTGGTCGGCTCAGGAGATTTTTTTTGTGGCCTAGCATATGTGCTGATTCCTTAAGTTTACGAATTTTCCAATGATCTCTGATCTCAACATGATCCCACAGGGGTCGGTGATCTCCCTTCTCTCTCCATATGTGGTCAGCCATGCCTGATTTTTCTACTTCCCCTCGCATTACAGCTTTCTGGTGTTCTTGAAGCCTTACCTTGAGGGGGCGGCCTGTCTCTCCTTTATATTTGTTTCCACAGCTGCACGGGATAGCGTACACACAGTCTTTAGTCATGTTCCCCTCTGTGGGGGGTCTCACTCGTGAGAGATATCTGTGAAGAGTTGTCACACTTTTGAAGGTTGTCCTGATGTTATATGGACCGCAGATCCTTTGTATTTTCTCTGATAACCCCTTCACATAAGGCAGGCAGACTGTTTTCTGAGTGTTGTTGTCCTCCTCCTCCTCTTGTACCCCCCTATCCCAGTTTTGGGGGCTGCTGCCGTGTACCCAGGGTAGTTGTTACGTTGTAGGGTATTGCTTATACTGACCAATTCCTTATCTATCATCTCTGGATTGCCACTTATGACTTTTGCTCGATGTTGTAAGCATCGGAAGATCCCTTTCTTTACGCTGTATGGATGGTGGGAGTCGAAATTGAGGTACTGTCTGGTGAATGTTGGTTTACGGTATATGGATGTCTTGAAGCCATGCTCTGTTCGAGATATTAGTACATCCAGGAATGAGAGTGAGTTGTTACTCTCTTTCTCCATTGTGAACTGTATCGAAGGTCTTATTGAGTTCACATGGTCCAGTAGAACCTGGACATCTTCCTGATGTTGCCAGAGTATGAAGGTGTCATCTACGTACCTTAACCATATAGTTGGCTTTAGCGATATAGATTCTAATGCCATTTCTTCAAAGTATTCCATGTATATATTCGCCATTGCTGGTGATAATGGCTATACATTGCTAAGCCCTCATCCTTCGATATATGTGATCCCATTCAAGTGTGTTGTTTGTGTACAGAAAGACAACATCTCCATCAGATTATCTATTGGAATACTGGTCCACTCCTCTAGGGAAGAGTCAGAGGTCAATCTATCTCTGACTACTGAGAGTGCCTCCTCCGTGGGTACCTTGGTGAACAGACTCACCACGTCCAAGCTCACCATCTGGTTGGATAGGATGGGAACATCTTTGATTATTTCCACGAAGTGGGTGGAGTTTCGGACATTTGAAGGAGACTTTCCAATCAATGGGTCGATTATATCTACAAGGAAGCGACTCAGAGGGTGGCACACAGAGCCTTGGCAACTAACAATCGGCCTGAGTGGAATACCGTCTTTGTGAATCTTAGGGAGACCGTATATGTGAGGTAACTTGGTGTAACACTGCGATAACTGCCTATACATCTTGGGTGTGAAGTGATCCTTGTTCTTGATTAGGATCTGTGACAGTTTGTGTTCTGTTTTCATAGTAGGATCCTTTTTCACTTTGCTGTAGCTACCATTGCTAATGAGGTCTTCCAGTTTTCTTGTATACTCCGATTTGTCCATCACTACAGTCGCATTACCTTTGTCAGCCGGTAGTATGATGATGTTTTCGTTCCTCTGTAGTGATTCAATCGCCAGTCTCTCCAGTTTTGTTATGTTAGACCTGGGCAGCTTGGCTCTCTCCAAGGCCTGTCTCACTTTCCATCTCATTTCATCCGCCTGAGACTGAGGGATGTTCAAGGCCACCTCCTCGACTCTGGCAATGATGTCCAAGTATGGCACCCGCCTGATGGTTGTGGCGAAGTTGAGACCCTTATTCAACACTGACTCCTCAGAGGCACTCAGCTGATATTGGCTGATGTTGACTACTGCTTTCACTGGTGGGTGATGGACCTTGTGCGTCACCTTCTGATCTTTCAATCTATTTAATTCTTGCACTTGGCGAGCCTTGACTACATCAAATTCATGTCTGAAGGATTTATCCAAGTCATTTTGGATACTTCTCTGGTCTTCTTCATTAGTAATTCTGTTGAAGAAATCCTCAAGCGTCTGGGAGATATGAGCATGTAGTCGATGTTTCATCCAACGATTGTACTGTATTCTCTCTCGGACAAGGGCGTGTCCCGCTTTCTCTGAAGAAGGCCGGAGCGTACAACGGCCGAAACGTTGTGACAAATATGGCGACAAAGATGAGGACAATAGTCCGACTAATGCAAATACTGTACATAATACCTCATCTCAGAAATATAGACAGACTCCAAATGTTTTAATATTTAACAGTCAAGTCTTACTGTATTTGCCAAAATGTTCTGTCTTCAATGGAAAATTGTTTATCAGTAGAGACCTTGTATTTTTAGTCCAGTATTCTATTATGGATGATAAAATAACTAATTAAATTTGAAAGTTATGGATTTAAAAGTGAACAATCGATGATTAAAAGTATTCTTTTTAAATTCTGGATTGATATTAGAATGGAGATAATGCATCTTACCAGTTAGGACTGCTAATCTGCTATTTTTACTAATATGGCCTACTAACAGTTGTTAGTATGTATCTAATATATATATATATATATAAAATATGAGGATAAGATACACAAAATAAATAAACCTTTAGATTTTTTTTTTTTTTGCTGGTTTATTTAATGTCACATTATTTTATATCTTCATGAAGATGCTTGTAGTCTCTTCCATTTGGAAGTTGTGCAATGTTTCTCTTGACACTTAATAAATTTGGGCTTTTTTTTTTTTTTTTGCTTCTTGTGATATTTCATCAGACAAACAATATAAATACTAGTATAATAATTTTATTAATTTCCTTTTTAATTCAAAATCTGTTCTAAAGCTTGATTCCATATTAAAATTTGTATATTTGTCAAATTGATAGTTGAAAATTCACTCAATTGGAATTTATTAAGAACTTAAAAGATTTTAAAAATATATTGGGAAAAAATAAATGGGGATTATTCTTTTTAAGAATAGAATTTTTAATCAATTGAATAAAAGTTTTTAAAAAATGAATTATGCTAAAAATATTAATTTATAAGAAATACAAAAGAAATAAAGTGATTGTCTTTTTTGGTAAAATGAATGGGTGTTGATCAAGGCTGCTTTTTTTTCTTTTTTTTTTAAGAATGTCTGAAACATTTAAAACTTCAATGAATTGAAAAATTGGAATAGCCAAGTGTGGTCTGTTCATGTTCATAAAGATAAATTTAAACCTGGAGTCTCTTCTATTTAAAGAAGCTCATATTTTGTTTGATTTTTGGATTTATAAAGAAAAGCCATTTATTTGATTATTGAATCTGCAAATTCAATTTCTATTCACTTTTATAGTGAAAAAATAGAATTTAAATGAATGAGAATTCATTCATCTCATGTAACCATAAATGTTCTATTATTTAAGATTTAAGAAATCACTAAGTTTTTATGACCAGTTGAAATTCAAAATAACAATAGATATTTTGATAAGTACATTATCAATAAGCATCATTTTTTAAATATATACTTTGTCTATTGTACATATGTACCCAAAATAGATATAGAAATTATAAAAATAGATTATAGAAATTATAAAGGCATTTATATCTTAAAATAATTAGAAGTCATTGTTTTGATCCCATGTGCTATAGTGGAAATTATTTTTATATTGAAGTTTGGTTTAGCTAAATAGCATTTTAAAAAATATTATAGAAAAGTTTTATCTAAACAGAAAAATGATGAGAATAATCCACCATTTGTATTTGAAATGACGAGAAGCAAAGGAAAGCACAAAATAAGCTATTAGACCAAAAGATGAGAAAAATAAAGGAGGCTGACAGATAAATTCTCAAATGAAAGAGTAGATAATGTGAAAAAATTCCACACAATATATGAGATTAAATAAAAACATTAGATATAAATGCAAAGAAGCAAAAGGAATGGCTGGAAAAATGTGCAGAGATAAAAGAAAAAACCTGCAGAATACAGATGCACAAGTATAGATAGCGAGATAGAAAAGGATGTATAAAATCTAAAGAGAAAACAGCAATCTTTGGCCTGCAAAAAATGTGTTGAAAGGACAGTTTTTCCCCTGACACCACTATTATTTTAACTACCTTATCTCCTCAGCGATGTTTATTGTTTTAAAAAGCAATGATTAGAATTTTAATAGAACCTAAACATATGAAAGTGAATTTATACATTTTCTTTGTTCTTAAGAATTGAAAACAAAATAAACACTATTAGACTTAAACAATCACTATTATATTTATTATTGGAATGGATGGCACAATATTGGCTAATTGCCAATCAATTCAAACTTTATAAGATGATAAATAAGGATTTCCTGATAGTTGGTTCATACATTTTAATAATATAGTAAATGTTTATATATTTATGAATAAAAAATTTTCATATTTTATGTAAATGATAAATATTGCATTAGTTTTAATACAAATGTATTAGTTTTTAGAATGTTCTAAATATGAAATTATTCTTGCAAATAAACAATCTAATAAATAGTATTTAATATTTTTGTTGTAAATTCGCAAGAACAAAAAAAAATGTATGAATTCACTTTCATCATATGTTTATATCTCATTACAATTTTAATCATTGCTTTTTAAAACAATAAAAACTGCCAAGGAGTGAAGGTAGTTAAAATAATAGTAGCATCATGGGAAACCCCATCCTTTTGACATTCTGTTTTTTGCAGGCATGAAGGTTAAAGATTGCCAAGAGAACAATCCTTATAATAGAGATGCTAACAGTCTGAGGCAATTTAGGGATAAATAAATTTTTCAAAATGATAAATATATAAGAGTGGTGAAATACTGGAAGACTTGAGCAAATTAATCTTCACAGTACAGCCAAAAAAACATGAATGAATACAAATTCCACTGAATTTTTTTTTAGTTTGATCAACCATATAATAAAACAAAGTAATAATATTCTAATGAATAGAGCTCAGAAGAATATGGGAAAACATGGCTTGATTCAAGACACTGGAACAAAAAAATGCAATTTTTATGACCCGATTGATATCAAAATCATCAATAGTAGTTCAGAAAGATTTATACTTATATTTCATGAATTACACAAATGCATTTAATAAAGTATGGCATGAAGAATGCAATGAAAATTTAAGAAAGGAAAAGATAGATAATCCATGAGCTTTATTGGAAGTAAACAGTTTGCATATTTAAATAGAAGGAATTAAACAGAAGATGTATAACAAGAATGTACTTTTTCACCAGATTTATTTAACTGGACAATAAGATTCTAAGAGGACTAGAAAATCTCCTTGGATTTGTTATCTGCAGACATAACCTTAGCAATACATGCTATGCAGTGTTGATAGCAGATTCAGAGAGTTTTTTTTTTTTTTTTTTCAATCCAACATTTTTCAAGCACAAGAATTATAGAATAAAATTAATTTGCTAAATTGTTTTTATTTACTTACTGTTTCTCTAGACACATTGGATAAAACTAGGTTCTTCAAAAGCTGTCATTTGTAAAATGATTATCTTAACTCTGGTATTTACGATCATTCACACATGGCTTGCCTGTTTAAAATCAGACATTCATTTGCTTTGTAGGAACAAGAAATATGGAGAAAAATATAAATAAAATCATTTTCAAACTGTTCTCAAATTTCAATTTTTGATGAGTGAAAATTATTTCAGCAGAAAACTACCAACTCATGAGTTAAGCAAAAATGCAAAGTTTTCTAATGATTTCTTTTTCATTTTGCAAACTGGGACAATTTGTTGCTAAAATATATTTAATGTTTTCTTTCAGAGAGATCTGTTTTGTAGAAAAAAAGTGAAAAGATTTCATTTAAAAGAAAAAAAAATTGTTTCAAAGTAAATTTAATTTATTGTCAATATGGCAACAACTTATGAGAAAGTCGTGGCTGTAATTTCAAAAGCACCTCATTTCCGACAAAACACTGAAATCAATCAATTGCTGCCTTGGTTTAGGAAGAAGTCCAAACTGTTTTACAAATTAAAAACTGGTAAGTCACTGTTACATTTTCTCTTGACTGAAGATCTATAGGTTAATAAATAAATTTGTAAAAACCAATAAATTCACATATTTTCACAGATTTTGGTGACATTGGTCCACGCACAAAAAAAAATGACTAGGTCACTCCCATGGGGAGGCAAGGAAATAAAGGTTTTAGTTGCATTGCAAGAATTGTTTGGACTATTTAACTTATTTTTTGTATTGCTTTTGTTGGCTAGTCTACTCTGTCTTCAGGTATACAATTTGTAATGCAAGAGAGGAATCTCTTTTCTATAGAAATGGTGCTAAACTGGCTCAGCTCATTTCCAGAAACCTGTTTCTCAAGTCTTTCAGGAGATGGCCGCTTTCTTATATTCTTTGTCACATTTGCATGAGATGTTATAAATGCAATTTTTTGTCAAGTTTCATAAAAGACCAATTCCAATAAGGTAACCATGCTAAAATGGTTGTTTACTTTGAGTCCGTATGTTTAGCTAGGCCAGTTACCAGAGTTTTTTGAGTTGGGAGCCTTTAAGTCCAGGTTTTCATTGATTTGATTGATATCTTTTTTATAGATTATCAACCTTTTGTGGGTTATTTAAAGCCGAAACATGTTTTGGATTATATGAATAATTCTTTTTTACCTTATTTTTGTGAGTGAATATTGCAATAACAGTTTTTTTTAAGAATAACAGTGATTTGTCCAGATACAAGTCCTACTATTTAACCTATAGATGATGGTGGAGGAAATGGATTCATACCTTTACTAAGAGTATTTGCATATAAGCAACACACCTGATTGAAATTTGAACTCGGCTTTCTGATTTCTCAGCCCAAGCCATTATCCATTACATCACCCATACATCCCTTACTGTTAGTAAGAAATTGCACACTAAAATTAATTCACATCATTTTTACAAGGAGTGAAGCAAATGATTTTCTCTGCAGCCACCTCATGGTGACAAACCTGTGTTTTGTTCAATTGAAAATTTCTGTGTCAGAAACCAAATTTATGACTTTTCTGGTTACAGGAAAAAAAAATGTCAGATTTTAAAAAATTGTGTTGTTTACATTTGTAGCATGAGCCATGGCTACTAGGAGGTTATAAATTTTGACACATAGTCATCATTTAATGATTTCTACACACCTCCATAAAACAGTGCTATGTTATGTTTGCACTAAAAATCTAGAACAAAATTGTATGCTGCAATAAAATTCTAATGAAAAATTTAGATTTCCAAAAATTATAGTTACTTTCCAATTGATGAGTACTTTCCAAAAATTATAGCTACTTTTGTTATTACCACCAGATATTTTAATTAAATGTGATTCAAGTGTTTATGATAGCAATTATTTTCAGATAGTGTATGTCAATAAATACGTAGTTCAAATCTATGATATCTTATTAGAGCCAAAGGCCCTATTAGCTTAAAATGACACCCGTAGGCTAGGTTTTCAGCCAGTACCTCTGAATTCTCTTACTTTCCATAAGATCACTGCTGATCAACTTTACTTGGTGTTGAAAGCAATGAAATAATTTTTTTTTTTATATTCACAGAAAGGATGGTTTGAATCAATATATGAATATAATCTTTATATATAGGTTTCTAGGACAAAAGTACAGTGTATGTATATAACTCCAAACAACTCTTGAAATTATAATGACTTCTAAAAATTATGCTTAGTTATTTTCTGGTGGGATGTATGGTGTCAAATATGAATTTTTTATCATTGGATAATATACTGAAAGCTGATGAGGAACCTCAATGTTCTTTTTCATCATAATTGTTTAGAGTACATCTACAATTTCTATACTTTGTCTTTAATATTGAATTCAAAAATACAGGAAGAGTAATACTTGATTTTGACTACAATTTGGCAGTAAGTGAAAAACATTCATTTTATTATGTTTGAGATCAAAATAGAAAATGCTACAAAATATTTTAATGCTTGGTTCTACTGAAATATTACTATTGTCTGAAAATACATTAATTAAAAAATATTATACTTAGAAAATTGTATTTATACAATCTATTTCTGAAAAATATAATTATTTTTGCATATAAATAGGAAAAAGTTACATTTAATTCATTCAAACAGATTTACCTCATGTTCAATTTACAGAAATATTGGAAGATATTCTGCGAAATTGTGATTTTGTTTCAAAAAAGCCAGATGATATTATAATTCTTCAAGGAGAACAAGGCAATTGGTAAGAGAAACATTCCTTTTAATTTGGATGGGAAATTTTGTGAGGATTTTTTGTTGTCATTCACTGAGGTTTACTCTTATTTTAATCTTTTATAATATTTTGGTTAATTTATTTTGCAACCTTCTTAAAGTAAATGTGATATATTATAAATACACTGCATCTCACATTATTAGACACTTAATGTTTTATTGATTCATAAACTACTTATTGGACTCGAATGATTTATTTGCTGAATGAAATTCAGTTTGTTCTACACAAATGCAAATTGCAACTATTAGCTTGAAATATTTTGAATTTCAAACTCTCAAATTAATAGCCACATTGAAAATTTGAAACTTTAAACTATGTTGATTTTGAATAATTATGAAAAATGTTTAATAACTTCAGTGCTTGCAAAATAAAAACAATGCTAGAAATTACTAAAAGCATCAGCAGCCGATACCATTGAAGTGTTAAAAAGTTCATTGAAGGTCCTGAACAAATCTAATGCAGGTCTAATAGGGACACATTCAAGACTGTCTCACTTATCTGTGTCTTGTAACAAGAGAACTGCTTTTAAAAATCTGTCTTTGCCAAGCTACAAATATTTTGAGCACTATAGCAGCAAAGAACTATTTAAGAGAGATCCGGCTTTGAATCAAATAGCGAAAGATGTGTGACCAATCACTTGACCTCTGTTAAAAGACGTACACAAGGAAAATTAAATGAAGTGCACAACACAATACATGAAGACCAGTTTTTAAACCATTATCTTCACCCCAATAAGTGTCATGCAACCTTTGATGGGCCAGAGCAATTGGACAAAAGCTTGGTGGCTTATAGCGGGGAATTGAAGTGGGTGTGATGCTTTGGGGTTTAAGTGGTGTTCTCATGGTGAGTTCCAAATGCTGTTAAGGTGGCAACTCAGATATTTTTTTTTAAGTACCCATTTCAGTTTCAGAAGAAGCTAAACACTTAAAAAAAATGGTGATTTTTATGCATGACAATGTACCATTACATTTGATAAACAGAACTAACAGATATTTGAATAAAATGGGTTTCAAAAAAACTTGTTTGATGAAGTGGGTAGCTCCTTTGCTTGACATTAATCTGATTGAAAACTAGCAGAGAAAAATTTACATTGCTGTACAGTAATTTACCAATGAATAGAAACTTTGGAATGCTATATGGTTGCTATGAAATCTGTTTCACATGAAGAAATAAAACAGAAAATCAATGAATGAATGACTTTTAAAACTAGTTTTAGAACATGGAACATACATTTCATATTAATTTTATTACTTTATTGTCATTACAATGATACTGTTTGTAATTTTTGTTCAAAATATTTGTCTTTGTAAGAATATATTTAATTATAACTTTTCTTGACTCATAATGTAAAACTTGGAAAATCCAGTTAATAAAACTATTGCCACATTGTAAGAGTGACAGGTAAGTCTGTAGGTAATTCTGTTGTCCAGGTTATTTTTATATTACAAAAATCAAATGTCAGAATTCCAAACAATAATAAAATAAAAGTAAAGAGAACATGGGTGTGCCTGTTAAATAAATCATTTTTATTTACAAACATATAAGCATGAATTCAGAAGAATAAAAATAGTCTTTAGTATAGTTAAAGTCTTTTGGTAGTTGATCCATAGAAAAAGCTGACTTTGTCAGCAAAGATTCATTGACCATCTAAGCTGTTGTTGTTGGAGATGATTTGTTGGAAGCCACCAACATCTTTCTTTCAGCACATGCTGGGGGGAAGGAAAAAGCTATGTAAGCCACATCTTGCATTTGAATGGCTTGGAAACAGTCACATCTCTACTGTTGAAATCTGTGGGGTTTTATAAGTATGCAGGCATAGCTGGGGCACATCCTGTTTTTGGTCAGGATCAATCCTGGTATTGGAGAACAAGCCATCAACCCACACTTGTCGGCATTTGACACAGCAGCTGGACTTTAAGTTGACCTCTCTTACCCATGTGATTTTTGATCTTAAGAGGGTCAAGCCGAATTATCACTGGGGTATCTCAACCAAGCTAAACCAAGGAGTTGAATATGCACACACAAAATTGAAAAGAAAACAGATGATGCCTGAATAAGTCACTATATGAAGTTTATATCAAAATAAAAAAAAAATATTTACAGTTTTTTTTTTTTTTTTTTTCAACCTGTTTCTAATATCTGGCGATGGAACGAAAATTTGAGGTAACTTCTTTAAGAGTGGCCAGACTTGACAACTGGATTTATCTTCAAGTACTGTTGTTTGTACTTTCTAGGATGGCACAAGGTTATTGTCGGAGTTTTTCTTCAGCAACAGATAATTATTATTATCATTAGGTTGGCAAAACAGCGTAATGGCAGAAATCTCTTAACTCCCCGTCCGCAACTTCAACTCCAACTACTTTAGCCCCCGTGGGCACTTGTATTTATGGGTGTCCCTTTTAACTGGTATAGTGAAGGCGCATAAGGGGGTTTTATGCAAATATCCTAAAATTCAACCAATCTCCTTTCATTTTCTTCAGGTCTATCCTCTTCTACAGGAACTAATTGAATGATTCCTCTTCACTTTTTTCCGTCATCAGTCTTCCTCTGCCAGATTCTGCAGTTCTAGGGGGTAATTTTATGTCTTCTTCTGCCACCACTGTTATACATTTGTCAGGTGAATCTCCCAAGGGCATCTTTACGCCATCCACTACCAATACAGTAGGATTAAATTCAATTACAGCCCTATGTTTATGCAGCCAATCTTCTAAAATCATTAATGCACACAGTTTGGGAGTTACATAGAACCTCTGGATGCTCCATGTTCCTCCTGCTTTTAATGGAAGTTTCACCATCCCCTTTATACTCAAAGACATACCATCCACTTGGGTGATCTTTATATCAGGTTTTCTCATCCTTCCCCAATTCCTCAGTTTCCTATACTTTTTTTCCCTCAATAACGACACCGATGCTCCAGTGTCTATTAAGGCTTTCACCGCCGACCCCCCCCCCACCACCACCACCACCACCGCTACCTCACAATAGAGCTTTCTCTCCTGAGTCAGCGAGGAGAATATCTTAGCTCTTTTTCTCTTTTGTTGCGGTTTTTCCATCCACCCAGTCACGGATGCTGGTAGTAGTAGTCCTTCATTATTGTTACTACGAGATCTTCCTTTTCTTTTGTCTCCATATCGGGGCTCTTCAGACCAAAACTTTGTGGATTCTGTCAGTCTAATTCTGTAGGGACAGTTTCTCTTCAGGTGCCCTGGTTTCCCACAAAACCAGCACCTTCTACTTGGGCAATTTACTGCAAAATGACCCACCTGCCTGCACTCCCTATTTATACGGGCCACTCACCCTCTTATTTCTGGGGTAACCCTTTGGCATTTTCCTGGTTCGACTTTCCAGGCCCCATCTTCGCCTCTCATATCAGTGGGGCTCCCTTCTTCAACCTGCACCATTTGGCCACATGCCCTCTACTTCCACATCTCATGCATTTTTCTTCCTCATGATTTGGGGGCAGCAACATACAGGTCTGGCAACTGAACCTGGATTGCCGCATTTTCTTTAACTTCTTCAGGAAAAGCCAGAGAGGCTAGTCTCTCTGCTCTCTTCCCCAGTTCCTCTAGTCCCTCATTCTTTTCCTGGACCAGTTTCATGAGGCCTCTATTGCCATTCCCTCATCTGCATATTCTGCTATTAGTAGTTCATCCAACCTTCTCCATGTTAATTGTGAATCTCTCTCTAATAGTTAGCCAATAAATTCTGACGGACCTCCTGTCGCAGCATCAAACGCAATACATACCGTCTCTCTTTCAGTCAATTCATAGATTAATTGACTTTTGTTGACCGCCGCTAGCCAGCCCCCAGTTCTCCCACATCTCCCCCCAAAACTCGGAACTCTGGGCCCCCCTAGTAGGCCCCTCAACTCAGTGGACATCTGTTGTCCCACTTCATCATTCTCTACCTCTGCCATCCCAATTTCCTCTTCCCTGTGGACATACATTTAAATAAATTCAGAAAAACAACAGTCTATAAACGAAGGAAATCGATTTCGGAAATGGCAAGCAACAACAAATTGAAAAAATTTCAGGGAGAAACCAAAAAGTGGCCTGTCACCTGGCTCCAGGTTGCTCTCACTCCATTTATTGGATGACAAAAATTTCTTCTTTCTTTTTCTTTTTTTTTTCTTTCTTTCTTTATGAGCATTTCGAACATAATGGTCAAAATGACCAAAATCCCTTCGGTTCTCTCTCTCTCCTTCTTGATGCAGTGGTCTCTCGGAGTTGATTCCGTTGGTCACTGCACCAATTTATGTGGTCATTCAGGGTCAAATCTTGGGTCATTGCAACCAGATTATGGCGGCACAGCCAGGTCTTTGGTCAGGATTGATCCTGGTATCAAAGAACAAGCCGTCAGCCCACACTCGTTGGTCGTTGATGGCATTTGACACAGCAGCTGAACTTTAAGTTGACCTCTTCAACTATGACCTCTCTTACCCACTTTGTGAGTTTTGATCTTAAGAGGGTCAAGCCGAATTATCACTGGGGTATCTCAACCAAGCTAAACCAAGGGGTTGAATATGCGCACACAAAATTGGAAAGAAATACACAATGTTTGAATAAGTCACTATATGAAGTTTATATCAAAATAAAAAAAATATTTACAGTTTTTTTTTCTTTTTCTTCTTTTCCCAACCTGTTTCTAATATTTGCCAACAGAACGAAAATTTGAGGTAACTTCTTTAAGGGTGGCCAGGCTTAACAACTGGATTTAACTTCAAGTACTGTTGTTTGTACTTTCCGGAATGGTACAAGGTTATTGTCGGAGTTTTTCTTCTTCAGCAGATAATAATAATTATTATTATTATTATCATTAGGTTGGTAAAACGGTGTTATGGTAAAAAAATCTCTTAACTCCCCGACACAGCTTCTGCAAATCTGGGCTGCAACCTCAAATCAAACTAACCCCAACTCCAACTGCTTTAGCCTCCATGGGCACTTGTATTTATGGGTGTCCCTTTCTACTGGTATGGTGAGGGTGCATAAGGGGTTTTATGCAAATATCCTAAAATTCAACCAGTCTCCTTTCAAAATTGAAAATTCAAACAATTTTCAAAATTGAAAATTCAACCAGTCTCCTACTTCCAAAATTGGAAGTATGAAACAGTTTTCTGTTTCACACTTCCAATTTTGGAAGATCCCCCCCCTCCTCCAGGAGGAGCCATTATATGACATCAGCCTTCCTGACATCTTCCCTTGCCTTCACAATTGCTCATTCTGTTTTCACAATTATAATTCTTTCTCAAGGAAATTTTGGCTGATAATTTTCCCAGTACATAGACACTGACACCTTTCAACAGACAACTTTAACCTCTGGCCCCTAAAGCTGCCAGCTGTGTCTCACTGAATAGTAACAATCATATTGTGTAACTTTTTCAACCTGTTCTCAATATCCTGGGAAAATGAATCCCTTTCTGACAAAAAAAAAAAAATGTTTTCTTTAACCCTTTTCGTCTGTATGCCATGTTAAATATTGTTACATAAGAAGTTTTTCTTGAAAGTAGGCTAAAAAAAAATAGGATTTTTCTCTAATTGGTCAAATATTTCACATGGTGATGTTAATTTCTAAACAATAGACACTTTGATTTAAATGTTCTGTATATTTGTAAATATTGTCTGTTATTGGGTAGAAAATAAATTTTGGGTGTGTTTTAATATGGTATGTATGTGAGTATGTAATTGTGTTGGAAATACGATTTATTTCCTATAAGTCTGCTTATTATGTTACATCTTAAAGTGAATGTGAAATTTAGTCAATAATTGTAAAGTACCATATTTATTTATATCAAAGTTACTGATTCTGTAAATAACAAAATTTTTGCTAGAAATTAGGTTTCAAAAGGACACATTTTCTCTGTAAAAGAGTCAATTTAAAAAGAACCTGAGTTTAAATGAACTAAACTTCCCTTTTGAAAAAACAGTCAAGCTCTGTATTTTCCTTTGAGATAATCTTTTATAAGAAATCATTCTTCACTTGTAATTTCAATAAAACCCACATTGATAACAACAATCTTCTTTTTCTTTTCCAAAAAAGGCTGAATAAATGTATTCAGTATTTCCTTGCTTTAGGAATTTAGCTTATCTCACGTTACATAAAAGTTTAGGTTGTTTTTTATCTTTTTTTCAGTTTTTATATAATTTTAAGAGGAAAAGTGACAATTTATAATCTGAGCAAAGGAGATGAGGAGAATATTACACAATTGACACGTGATGAATTGAAATCAGATAATCAATTGGACCGAACCAAGCTTGGAAATTTTGTTTGCCACTTGAGTAAGCTTTCTTATTTTATTAAACAATAGCAGACATACCTGGCATTGCCTGGGAAAAAGTTATTGAAATGATTTCTAACTCAGTTTCCAAATAATATATTCTAGGAATAATAACTATCCCGTAAAAATTAACAAACATCTAGAATAACATAGAAATGAAAATAACAAAGCATATTTTTAAGTATTAGACTTTTACAAAAGGATTTCTCTGTACACAATATTCTTAGTTTTTTTTCAGTAGGTGCATAAAATGTAAAGATTTCTTTTGCTTCCAACTCTGAAGCATTCAACCTTGTGAAAAACATGGATCTTCAAAGTCTAATCCAGCCATTGACAGTGTTGACCTTGTGATTTGTTTGACATTGCAAAGCTATGTTTGACTGGAAATTGCAGTCTCTTAAAATTGAATGAAACATCTGTAGGGATCAAGGGAATTTTTGGTATATAGACATCTACTCTCCCACAACCAGAAAGAATTGTTGCTTCAGTAACATCAGGCATCATTCTTTTCACTATAAGTCTTGTGCTGTTGCAGAGTTTTGGAGGATCAACATTTCATAGTAGCATTATTGAAGAGCCAATTTTCAGATCCACTCTATATGGCAGTAATCCAGATAACTCATAAGGAATTCTGTTGGATAACTGACTGCATCTAATTTATTAATAACAGTATCAATATATTTCTAGGTGTTTCCAGTTTTCAAAAGTTCAAAATTAATTGAATTGAATGTGGCATTTTTTTTGGTGCTAGAATGGCTCTCTCTCAAACAACCATTTACCATTTTGATAATGAGCATTGATATTTGGAAAGACTTTGGTAATTAATCCCAAAGTTGATGGTTCAAAAGTACATATGGGTGAGGGATCAATGAAACTTTCACTGTCAATCAAAACTTTCCCCTCCCCAATTTAAGAAGTTTTTCAACCAATTGATTTGATGTTATATCTCCATACAGGTACACTCTGATACTAGTTGTCAATTTTAGGATCTTTTATGTCTCCATAACATTGATATTTTCAATGAAGCTCAAATTTCATCTGCTCTAATACCTTTTGGAATGATAGGGAGGATTTGTTTAAAGTCACCATAGGTATTCCTCTCATCAGAGAATCATTGTCCCTAATATCCCTTAGTGTTCTATCCAAAGCTCTCTTATGGTTTATAGTGCATTCATGCCAAACAATCAAGTAATACTTTTTGATAACTTGTGCAATTCCAGAATTCTTTGGTATATTGCACGTAGGATTTTCATTCCTGTTCAGATTCAGTGGAAGTTTGAATGTTGAATGAGCTGTACTACTTGTACCGTAATAATGTAGCAGAAATCCCTGATGAAGCAACTGCAATAAGTTTTTAACTTCTTACCTTGGCCACTAGTAAGGTGGTAACAAATGTTTTTTCCTCTCCCACCAGGTGCATCTCGGAAGAATATTCCATCTTTCTGGTATCTAACAACATCTATAATTGTGTCATAAGCTATTTTCTGATCAGGTAGAAGCTTTGTCTTATTTTCTTTTATGTAGCTTACCAATGAAGATATCATATGCAGTTTCTCAGATCAATTCTCTTGTTAACTTGTTCTCATTTCTTCTTGCTGTCTTTGGACGGCCATAAATGTGTAGATCAGTTCCTCCCATGGTTATGATTCTATTCTTAATGTCGATCAATACTTTATTGTACAGTTTATTGTTATAAGAAACCTCAATATCTGGTAACTGCACTTGTAATTGGTGTTTCTAATCTTTAGCTAAGGTTTCCTTTTGTTTATCCCAAAGTCCTAATGCATTACTTATTTCACAACAGTTAATGAAGATAGAAAAAAGAGATTTAAGACTTTTTGCACTCTGAGATACAGATGTTTCTGTTAAAGTAGAATCCCATTGTGCATTATCTTCCAACAGACCACATTTGAAGCAAGCTTCTCTATATGTTGAGCACACTGCAGACATCTACTGTATAGATATCTTTAAGTGAAGTGGGACATTTTGGCATCATGCAACAGCATCCGAAGAAAGAAACATTCTTCTGGGTTGTGATTTACAGTTACTTCCAAGTACACTATCAAATTTGATGTTTGAAAATCCATCTATAGATTCACCCCTTTTTCATTTGTTCCAGCTGCCATTTTGTCAGGTGTAATATGATGGAAGCTGATGATATTGTCTTAGCAAAGGGATCTCTTGAACAAAGCTTGAAGAAAACTGTAAATGTAGTCTTTTTGCAGCTAATATTTGCTGAGTTGCATTTGCCCCAGAGAAGTAAACTGTCTATTTTTTAAATGAACATCTAGTGGCTGAACTGTTGGATATTGCTCATGAATGGGAAATCTAAGTATTCTCCAAATTCCTTAACTGCTGCTAATGTATCAACCTTTGTTGGTACATGCTTATTTCATCTCATTGGTTTAATGTTTGGTTTTGCCTATTTTTGCTCGCATTGTTTGTTTCTTGTAAAGCAAATATTGCTGCATCTGATCCTTTGTTGACATATTTGCAGACATATTTAATTGACTTTACTGAGTTACAGAACTCAACATTGATGTTAGCATCAAAGATTTTCAAGTGTAGGGGACTGTATAGAATTAACAATCTGTTGTCAATTACAACTGGATTTCAAATTACTGCCTCAAATCCACTATCATCTGGCTTTCTTCTTAGATAGGAAGGCTAGCCATTTTCTCCCATTTGTGTTTTCTTTAAGAAACCTCTTGGATAATGCTTGGTGCACTTTTTATCAACCATACAGGGAGAATTTCTGTTCCCATCATCACAGGAACCATGTACCATATGAGTTGTAACAGTATTATAAAGTTTTTTGTCTTTTGTAGGATCAGGTAGTTCTGCAGATATTATATAATCCACATGACAGGTGTTAATTTTCATCAATTCACCATATCAAAATGTGGACATGAGGAAGACCTCGTTTTTGCCACTCAAAGGTATACATGTATCATCTTACACCACCAAAAACTTTCCCTGCTGTATTCATTTGCATTAATTTAATCACTTTTAACCTGAAAACTCTTGCAATTAGGTCTGTTCTATGGCTTTTGTCCAGGGAGAAGTTCAGCATTAATTTCTTTCCAATTCGGATTACAGGTGAATGTTATTAACAAATATGAACATCCATAATGTCTAATGTATGTTATTGAATCTTGAGTTCTTTCATGCATATATCTTGAACTGCCAATAAAACTTGATGGAAAAATGACTGGTTGACTTATTTCATCTATGAAAACATCATTGTTAATGCCATCTTGTAAAAATGATGATGCTCTTAAATCTGATTGGTATTACTTGATGTATGCTAATCTTTCTCCCTCCATCTTTGTATACCTATCTACAACAAACTGGCAGAACAGGTTTTGAGCTCTGTGAAGGTGATTAAAAGAATTTTCTTGGAGCATAAGGAAGAAAGCATAAAAGTCCATACATGAAAGAATCTTATTGAAGTTTCCTCCAATTTGATACCCATCTTCACTGGTGCCAAAAAGCAAGGGGATATTTTAAAGCATCATATGAATAATGAATTTCACATATTTTTTTAGCTTATTATTAAGAACTTGAAGATCAATAACACAAAAACTCTTCTCCACTGATTACTGCATCTATTTCATTGCATTGAAGCATATATTGAAACATTGAGAATACTCACTTAAAGGCCTTTTGTCAGCATCTATAACAATCGTTTATTCAGAGGACAGTGATAATTCTAGAGAAAATTTAAAGCTTTTCATATAACTGTTCCTTTCATGAAGCAGATCATGCAGCTTTTTGTTTCTGTTAATTTTTGTAACTAGTTGCATCAACTCTCTTTTTTTTTTTTTTTTTTTTAGCCTGTTGAACCAAATCAGACACAAAATAAAGTTGAAGAAATTGAGGCTCTTCATTTGATATTGGCAATAAAGATCCAATACAGTGATAGACTTGCCCTTGGACTTTATATGTAGGCATAAATCCTTCCTCAAGAATAATCTTAGCACCAAAAGAGGTCATCTGGAATGCACTATTATAGTTCAGAATGTTTTTAAGAAAGTCCTTTGAATCATTAGTAGCACTAGTGGAAACTTCCCTCAGTAGTCCTGAAGGATCTTGTAAAAGCTTCAACTTGACCTTACCACCTGTGCTTCCAAAAGGTTCATTTTCCCACTTTTATGCTCCACAGTAGATACAAAGTTTTGTCATTGCACCAATCTACACTTTGGATATAGCATAGTCAGTCATTGGATCATAATTCATAGTGGCAGAGTGCCATTGGATAAATTGTTTGTTACATGGTTGTGAAATTCTTGACATGTCACAAGAAAGTCTTTCAGATCTTTGCACTTCAGTTTCATTTTGTCCTTTTTGCCCTCATCTCTTCCAATCTGTGATATCTCTGTGGTTCAGATTCATTTTGTCTTACTTTTTGAATTCTTACCTTTGTCTCTTACAGTCTGTGAGATCTTTCTTCTTCAGTTTCATTTTCTCTTGTTTCTTCAAGCTCTTGATTTGGTTTTATAGAACCAATTTTTAGCCCCCAGGAGGTGCACCATACACCTTACCACATATATTACTTCCAATTCAATTTGTCTTGTTGATTTATAACCCTCATCTATTCCAACCTGTGAGATCTTTATAAATCAGGCCCATTTTGTTTGTGTCTTCTAATTGTTATTCTTGTTTCTTAAAGCTCTTGTTCTCTCTCTGTACTCTTGACTTTGATTTTTTTTCTAACCTGTTCACCTCTCGTTTCACTACCCTTGAGCCTCAATTGTCTTTTTGCTTCTTTTTCAAATAATCTCTGCATCTCTTTCAGAATGGTAGTAGTATATTTTCTTTCAAGAGATGATTTTTTCTTGGAAGGTATATTAGCTCACCCTGGAACTATTTTGCTGTATTAATTGGACTAATAATATTGTTTGTAATAGATATGTCACTAATAAAGTAGTTCCACTATTTTACAACAAATGTGTCACCAAAGAAATATTACGTATAACTAATACAAGGACTAAAAAGTATTCTCATGCTTTTTTATATTTTATAGTGAATTGTATGCATTGATGCATTATGCTTTTAAACTATCTGTTAATGTGTGAATTGTGCAGTAAACTATTTAAAAATATCAGCCAATTACTTAAAATTCCAAAACAAAATAAATAAAAACTTCAATTCTAATATTCTGTATTTACATTTGGTATCAAGTGCCAGTAATATGTACAGTACATGTACACTGTGTTTACTGAGAAATACACATTTTTTTGAAAATTTTACTTATTATAAAAACTAAATGATCGCATTTTAGTTGTGGGTGGACCCTCTTTGTCACCTGGCAACCAATACTTTTAGACACCGTCAGTCCGTGTTAATAACCATTGCACAACAACAAGCAATCAGGTTAAAGAAAAGGTGAAATTAGATCAAGACAAAAGAATTTTTTTATGTTTGTGAAGAAAAACTTTAAAATTCTATAGAAATTCAGATTTGGTAAAATGAACAAAATGTTCATTGTGTGTTTGCCTATAATTTTAATCTAGTGATTTTATTGAATCTATTATTTAGCTAGGGGAAAAAGATGATGTAATTTTAGGCTGTAACAAAATCCTTTATTGGATTCTTGGAATGTGAAAAAAATGATAAATCATTATAGAAATTTCTTTAGAAAATATTAAAAAAAGAAAAATAAGTGTTCCTTGTTTTTTTTTTTTTCAGCCACAGGCGATCCCTTTGGGGAAGTAGCTCTCTTGTCAAAAGATTGTATTCGCACAGCAAGTGTAGTAGCAGAAGAGAATATTGACCTAATGGTTGTAGAGAAATCCTTATATGAACGTTCAGTTCGGGATGTACTGACCAAAGAATTCCAGCAAAAAATAGCATTCATCTGTGCAAACCCTTTATTTCGTGACTGGCCCCATAAATATCGACATCAACTTGCCATGGCTGTCTACAAGATTGTTCTTGCTTACAATGAAGAACTCATTGCTCAGGGAGAAGCCACAACCTGCATCTATTTTGTACTCAAGTAAGTGAATAGGTTGAATTACTTTTGTTTTGGAAATAAGAAATATATTTTTTCATGGATTGAAGCTATACAAATATAAAACTTAAATAGAAATTTACAAAGTTATTTTATGGTAATGAAATTCATTTTAATATTTGTCTATATTTCTGAGAGGAGGTATCATAATTATTTACACTATTTACATTGTTCAGACTTGTCCTCATCTTTATTGTCATATTCACAACGTTTCAACCATTGTATGCATTTAGCCTTTGAAATTTCAAACTGAACCCTTTATTTTGTCCACTGGGGTAGATTGTTCATTTGGATATCTAAGTTTCAGTTATTTCCCTTTATTAACTCAACTCTCCAAGTTTTTTGTTCACCTCTGCTGTGGCCAGGTAACTCTTTGGGTTAAGTCACTGGATTACTTCAACCAATGCTTTTGTCTACTTGGCCATGTGTCCTTGGGGAAATAAAGGATTCAGTTCAAAATTCCAATGTATACCACTTGTGTACAATGATTAAAATGTAGTGAATATGACAATAAAGATGAGGACAACAGTTCAAACAATGTAAATAGTGTAAATAGAAATTAATTTCAATTTAATCAGCTAAAGTAGGTTTTTCTTTATCAAAATATTTTATCAGGAAGAGTTGAATCACAGATTAAAATCTTTCTGTAAAATGAAATAAAAATTTTATGTTCAATAATTCACTAACTGAATTTTTCTTTTATAGGCTTATATTTCAAATATAAGTATACTGTTTTTTAAAATTCTCTCTTAAAACTCAGGGGTCTTTGATGAGGTAAATTGTAAAATGTATAGTTTTAATATCTCTCATATAGAAATATGAAATCCTTCAGCAAAATATTGCAATGTATTTTCATCTCTTATTGGGAAGATAATATACAATATCAATTTGTATTTTGTAATTATTTAGGTAAAAGGCAGGTAAACTTTAAATTTTTAATATTACAAAGGAATCATTCAAGAAAATACTTTAACTGAAATTTGTGAATATTTTTCAGTGTTATTACAGTGAATAAAAATAAGACAAGATTTAGGTACATCAATAAGTCCAAAGCCTAATGATAAAAAGTATTACATATATTTTTCAATATAATTCCCTTCCTTGTCAATGCACATAATCCAACTCTTTTTCAATTCACAAAATTGATCAAACATTTTGTAATGAAGATTTAAGATCAAAATTCAGCTGCTAATTCTGTCAGGATACAGACTTACTGATCTATCCTCAATCATAAATATTAAATATTATTATTGTTCAAAACTTAATGCACTAACTAACCCAAAACTTTTTGGTTGCATATAGAATGCTTTTTTTTCTTTTTTCTGAGTGTTTAAGCAACAATTAATAGCAGATGATAAAAAAACAAGAAATAACAGGCTTAAAGTTATCAAAGTTTGTATTTAACAGCCAATAGTTTTATAATGAAAAACAAATCTTTCATTTTAAATGTAAATTTGAGTAGATATTATTTAAGAATCAACAATGTTGCCAATGAGATAGCATTTCTACCATTTGTAAAACAAAGATGCATTTTCTCTATTTTTAGAGGACAACTTGAAATTCTGTGCAATCCAAAACAGCATGTGTCCCAGTACCCCAAACTGGTGTTACCTGAAATTACAGACACAAGATCTAAAATTTTGAAGAAGCACAATATAAAAACAAGATACAAAGCAACATTTTCAGATCAGTAAGTATTTCATAGTTATAATGAAAAATAAGCCTTTTTGAAAGATTCTTATAAAATCATTTTCATGTTTATATTTTTCAGCTAAGATCTTTATATTAATAATTTCCATGACATTAAAACCAACATCATTTATTATTTTTTTTTCTGTTGGTTAGTCTATAATGTTTAAAACTGTCCTAATCCCTCAATGGTTACTTCTAAAAATGTGGAGGTTTTAATTTTTATATGGCTTTGTTTCAGATTTGGTGAAAAGTGAAGAAGAATAAACATAAAAAATGATATGTCATTTTTATCTTTTTATATAAATTATAAATTGAGAAAATTCTACTTTCAGTCGGTTTCTTTTTAGTTGGAATCTTGTGTTTCATCAATAATTTATATAATAAATATGAATGTCAGTGTGTCACACTTTTTCAACTTTATTAAGGGAGGTCATAGCTCAACATATTAGACCATTTTGAAATCAAGCTGACTATTCGAGCAAATTAAAAACATTCTGGGCTGGATCTGGATCCGCAATCCTGAAATTTTGAATTCCCAAATTTTCATTACTGTGATTGTTTTTAATGATTTTTTTTTTCATGTGATTTTTTGCAACAAATTTTTTGTACAATAACAATTTTTATAACTTGGAAATAAATTTGGCAATAATCAAAATTAATTGCAGTAAAAGTCACCCATGAAAATAAAAATAATTGTTTGTACAGAAATTGTTTGTACATCAAATTGACTTTAAATTAAGTGGCATAAGAATTATTGTTAGATTTTTAAAAGGTAAGCTTAAATATTAATGCAATAGTTAAATGCAGCAATCAATTTTGAGTTCTTCTGTAGTTTATTGTTGCATATTGCATATACTTCTCCCCACCTATTGTGATGAAGACCCAATCAAGAGTCCTCTGCAGGAGCTAGCTGTCTGATAAATATGATCAAAACTAAGAAGAATACTAAACATAAGGCAATAGAAAAATACTAAAGCAACAATCAATTGGTTTAATAACATTAGTAACAAAGAAAACTGCTCCTTTATAATATTAGACGTAAAAATTTTTTTACCCATCTATTAATTAACATACACTAAACACTGCATTAAACTCAGTAAAACAATACATCAATATCCCCAATAAGAATAATATATATATATATATATATATATATATATATATATATATATATATATATCTTAAGGTAAAATGAGAACAAATGGAGTATGATTTCACTATACATAACATTCAATTTAAAAGAGGGCTCAATTCATAGTAGAGCTAATGAGCTATAATTCTCAGTTCTTCTTTTTTGATCGCAATTATTTTCAGAGGCATTTAGATTTTATTGTTAAAGATATTAATAGATCTAAAATATCTGACAAAAACTGCTAATTTTAATAAATTTAATCCTAAAGATTATAATACTTTAATTAAAAAAGATTTAACCAAAAATTATAAGAAGTCGAATATTAACACTATTAATTTAGTTGATAGAATTAACACTGCCTATAAAAATGTCACTGATAAACTTAAAATTAACAAAAAGTTTAGTAAGCTATGTATCAAAGAATTGTATGTCTTGGGAAGTTTGAGACTTAGATACATCTTACAAAATAATGTAGCAATCTGTATCTGCCCATAAGGAAATTGTCTAGGTTTTATATGCACACAACTTTGTGTCATGACCCATATTAAAAATTTTTTCTGGTGAATTTGAATTTAGCATAGGTCACTTTTGAATGGTTAATCATGGCAAAGCCCACAAGTCTATTTTTTTAAAGTATTCTTTTTGAGATTAAATTAATCTTTCACTCACCAGTAGTTTAACATCACCTGAAGAGACACATTTATGGTATCAAAATGTAATTATAATTGTGTAGTGATTTTTGGATATTTTGGATGAATTCACTTTTTTGTCTTTGAAATATTATACTTTCATGAACATTTTTCCAATTGTCATATATATATATATATATATATATATATATACTTGCAGTAGAGCGCGGCGTTGCCCGGGGATATAACAGTAAGAGATAGATCAAGTATCCACCATCATAAAGACTGAAAAATAAAATTGACAAAGATTATTGTTTAAGGTTGACGGACACACATGTCTTAATTAGGTTTTTTTTTTTTTTTTTTTTTTTTTTTACGAATTGGTCAAACCCAAACTTAACATTGTTTTCAATTGTTATGAGTCTACTGATTGAATAGAATTTTATTATAAACAATTGTCTTGTAAATGGAATTTTTAAAGCATTCTGAATGTAAAAATAAAGAAAAAAGTGTGCAAGACAATAAGAAACACTACATGCCAAAAAAAAAAGTGAAGTTTTGTTGAAATCAGTTGAAAAATGTAGGTAGCCTTTCTGTAATCTTTTAGTTTTACAATTTATGATTTTTACTTATTGAATACAGTAAAAAAAATTGCATATTTTGCTTGTGGTGATTCATAATTAGAATTCTGATTTGAATATATTTTTCACTTGTTGTTTCTAATACAAAAAATATTAACTTTTTTTGGGTTTATTAATTATGATCTAACAAATCTTATTCATTTAGTAGCCTTCTCTGTAATATATAATAATCTTTTACAATTTATGATTTTTACTTATTGAATACAGTAAAAAAATTGGACACCATGTGTATTTAAAGTAGTTTCCCGTTCCGGTTATTATTTTTAGTTAGGACTTGTGTATGTTTAGATTTCATTATCTTTCCCTAAAGATAAAGAATTTATGTTTGTATTCGTACAATCAGTAGAGATCGTTAGATTATTGCTTAAGGTTGACGGACACGCATGTCTTAATTATTTTTTTTTTATTTTTATTTTTTACGAATTGGTCAAACCCAAACTCAAACAAAAACATTGTTTTCAATCGTTATGAGTCTACTGATTGAATAGAATTTTATTATAAATAATTGTCTTGTAAATGGAATTTTTAAAGCATTCTGAATGTTAAAAATAAAGAAAAAAGTGTGCAAGAGAATAAGAAACACTACCTGCCAAAAAAAAAAAAGTAAAGTTTTGTTTTATCGGCTGAAAAATATAGGAAATCCGCTCCCATATTTAAAGTAACCCACACACACAAACAAACCGATGTGAGTTGTCCCCTTCAATTTTCATGATGTCTCTTAATCGTGTTTTCAAATTGATTTTGTGCAAAAACAATTATATTTTTCCCATTTTGGCGTTGTTAGAACCACCACAAGGTAATTTTATGTAGTCCTGTGAAGTTTTGTTGAAATCGGTTGAAAATGTAAAATCCGATCCAATATATAATTGTTACAGACACACACACACACACAATCTGCGTTTTTATAATAATAAGATATATATATATATATATATATATATATATATATATATATATATATATATATATAAAAATTTATTGCCTAAGCATTAATACTAATTATTTATATAAAAATGTAAATAAATGAAATACAACTTAATAAATAAAAATAAATAACTAAAAATAGTTTACATATCTCGAACTAGATCAAAACCAGACTAAGTTTGTTACAGATGAAAAAAAAAACAAAGAAAAAGGGCAATATGATCATGATGTACATCTGTATAGGTGGGCACATGCAAGTGTGCAGACAAATGCACACAAACACAGAGAAACAGAAGAAAATCTACACCAGTGCTAAATGTGTATAAAAAGAAAAAATTGAAAAAAATATAAGCAGTAAATTGCTGATACTCTCTGAAGAGTAGATGAACATGTCCATTATGAAACTCTGGAGTCAAAATGCTGAAGGTAACATCAATCAGCTAAATGACAAATTTTACTCACATTAATTCTATATATATCTTGAGATTCTTGATAAAATTCAAAGAAGGAACTGTAATGTAATTGATCCTGACCTGGCATCTTGACTTCAGTCACTTTCTATGTTTTTACGTTGAATGAGATAGATACAACCCTCTCTTATATTTTAATAATTTCTTTTCTCACACTTCTTACTCATGGAATTCTCTTCTGATTTGTAGCTTCTCTGCCACCTATAATCTATAAAAATTTAAATGCAACATCAATTGCCATCTTCTCTCTTTCTAAATCCTCTTCCTTTATTGTCCATTTCCTCACTTCTCCTCACTAAAGTTTTTGCATTCTCTTTCATTTCCTGTAACCCCCTGCATCCTAGTGGTATTATCACCTTGCTTGGAGTCAAATGCTGTGACTACACATATGCATGAATGAGGGATACTGGGAATTTTAAATTAAAATTTTTTTTTATTATCTAATCTAGCTGATTTCATTTAGATTCTTTTTTTTTTCCATCATGTTTGTTAGTGGATATCACACACATTGATAAAAGATCATACAAAGCAATACATCAAATGTATTGATTGCCCACCATCATGAAACTAACCACAATTTTAACATAAACTATACTACTCTGATCAAAGGAGAAAACAATTCACTATAACGAAAATATCTAGAGAATGCGTTAATCACAAGGTCATCCACAATAGATCTGAGCACCCTTGCTCTTACCACATTTCACCATTTCTGGATGAACTTCTATTATTACAATGTGAGATATCTACTAACAAAGTGACACAAGAAAAATTTTTCCACTTTGTCATACATTTTCCCACATATCTATCCATACTTAGCCAACCTACAGCAATTAGGTTTTTGCCGTAGATTTATAATATTTGTGAGCCTGGCTGAATGTTTATGAGGAAATTATCCAATGTTTTTTTCAGAATAATATGGAGGCAACACTGATGGGAACTTTTCAGTAGGCATAGACGACACCAAAATTTGCCACCCAGGATTCTGCATTATAAAGAAATGTAGGAAGTAAAATGGATCTGCAGATTGAGCCTCGTGTCTCTTTTGTAAAGCTTCTGTGGTCTACAAATGTTTGTGCTTGATTCATCTTAGTCTTGTAATTTGAGCATTCATACTTAATGACTTTGTTTTATATAGGTAACAAAAATTATTGATTATAAATTTTGTGATAAATATGTTGGAATTTCCAGTTGTACTTTTT